GGGCTGGGGTTGTGACTAAGTGGCAGAGCGCTTGCCTTGCACATGTAAGGCACTGGATTCAATTCTCAGCACCACATAAAAATAAATATACAAAATCAAGATATTGTATCCATCTATAACTAAAAAACATTTAAAAAATTTCATTCTCCTCCATATCTTTTTCTTATATACTGGTTGAAGTGTTTTAGGATGCTTACCTTAACACTGGTTATGTGAATGTTTTGGAGTCACAAACAGATACTTGGTAACAGTCCATTACAAAGGTGAACCTAGATTCCTAGACCATTAAATTTGGAAGCCCACAGAAAGTTGTCTCATGGCTTCTTTTTACAGATTGGCAAATTGAGGCCCAGGGAGGAAAAAGAAACTAATAGTTCTAGAAAGAGAGTATACAAGTGGAGACCAGAACCCCAGATTTTGGTGGATTAACTGTGTCAACTCTATGGAAATCAGAGTGAATTTCTATTAAGTTCGTTTTCTGGTCTTAAAGTTTGCATGTGTGCTACCTAAGAAGACAATAAAATAAATAAATAAATAAATAAATAACCAGCCAACCAACCAACTGGCTACATGTAACCAATATTCCTTACAAATTTGACAGTGGAAGAGTTTGGCTTTAGGTTTTAAAATCTTAATATTTCGCCACTTCCTTTTTAAAGGATGTGACTTTAAGAAGTATGTGGTGGGATTGCTTTAAGATATAGATCTTATAAAATTGGGTCTTCTACAGGGAAGTTGTGCTGTGGGTCTTTTTTTTTTTATTTTTTAAAGAGAGAGAGAGAGAGAGAGACAGAGAGAGAGACAGAGAGAGAGAGAGAGAGAATTTTAATATTTATTTTTAGTTTTTGGTGGACACAACATCTTTGTTTGTATGTGGTGCTGAGGATCGAACCTGGGCCGCATGCATGCCAGGCGAGCGCGCTACCGCTTGAGCCACATCCCCAGCCCTATGCTGTGGGTCTTGAGACCAGCAGGTTCCCAGGTCTAGGATTAAAAGGCTTCATTGATTTATGATTCAGTTGAGGGAATTTGATGCCATTCCTAGTTTGATAGTAGATGAAGTTAGTATTGAAAAGTCGCCTGACTTTTTTGGTATTTCGCCTATGTCTTGTTGCTGAAAAATGATGTTAAAACCTAAACTGACTTTTCTGTGAGATTACTGTGCCTTTACCATGTTTGTTTCTTCTCCAGAAGGATTTAAAAGCTGGAATTGACAGGTGTGATAGCAGAGCTGTTGAATGCTGCTGCTTTCCCTGTCATATGGTCCCATAGCATTTTCTTTGTTCCTCTACTCCATTTATTTCTCATACTTTGCCTTGTGCTATGGGTCATTATGTGTCTGTTTCTGCTAGTAGATTGTGAGCTTCCAGAAGATCAGGTCAGGAATTTCCTCTCTGCAACCTCATGTTGCCTAAATTGACAGTATTTAGGTGCTTCTTACATATTTGCAGTATTTCAGTGATGCTGAGGGAACCATTAGATAATAGTCTAGTCCAGTTCCCTTCTTTTACTTGTGGGAAATTGAGAATTACAGTGATTTAGTCAATGTTGCCTAGTTGGCTGAGAGGTCTGTGTTCTAGTCTCACTTCTGCTGATTGGTTGTTCCATTGGTTGTTCCTCAATGGGGAAAAGTTGTAGAAAAGGAAAAAACACTGAGCAGGTAGAAACAGATTACACTCACATTGCTGAAGTGCTATAATTTACTACGCGCTACCAATTAGATATTTTATTTTCAAATTTAGGAGTTCAGGTTTAACTTGTAAGACCTGAAGAAAACCTTGTGTTTGTAAGAGTTCTATACTTGTCCTTGTCCACCACTCCAGCAACTCTTGTTTGCTGTGTTCCATGGTTCAGAGTGCTGGTAGGAGTAATGGACTTTTTTTTTTTTAATATTTAGTTTTTTAGTTGTAGATGGACACAGTACCTTTATTTTATTTTTATGTGGTACTGAAGATTGAACCCAGTGCCTCATGGATGCCAGGCGATGCTTTACCTCTGAGCCACAACCCCAGCTCAGGAGTAGTGGACTTTTGATTGTCAGTTTCCAGTCACATTTCAGGCAGCTTGGGTGGTAAATTCCAGTTGCCTGTGATGATGACAGAGAGTAATTAGTTGGGGCCTTTGTCTGAATTTCCCTCTGCTCCAGATGGAATAATAGCAAAGAAAAGAATTTAATTTCTTAGGAAATTTGGTGGTTTGGATTGGAATTGTTTTCCCCTCTTCTCCTATTCCCTTTTGCTTATTAGAAAGTATTGATTCTGAAATAGAGTAAGTTTATTAGATTTGGGGTGGACATTGATTAGCTGTAACCCAATTATAAATCCTCAGAGGGGTATGTTTGTAAACATGTACTTTTCATCCAGGAACTCATGGTTCCTGCTGTTCCTGCTAATCAATTAGTTGAAGCTGAGCACATGCAAGATCTATCCACTAAGCTTAGAATTGCATTGCTTTTGATTTAATTTAATAGGATCCTCTTGATTTCCAATTTATTTTCCCAAGATAAGGGCATCTTTCTCTTGACAACCTGTTTAAAAGACACAGGAATGTTTTGAACAGAGGCTGTATTTCACGCTTTAAGGCAGAGCTATAATCAATATAATGTAAATTGTCTAAAAGAATCTTCTCTTTTTGTTGTTATTTTTTTCTTCAGTCTTCTCTAGACTATAAAATAATTTGAAGGCTTAATGAAACCTTAATAGAGATAGGTCTCACTAAGATTTTGGGTCAGATGGGGACTTTGGAGGAATTTTTCCTATTAACTTTAGAGCAAGTCAGTGAACAGCTCTGCTGAGTGTTTGCCATGAGCTTATAATAGAAAAAGTATAAGTTGTAGTCCTACTGCTAAAGACATTTAATATCAAGTTGAGGAGATTTTCTGTGTTTTGATGTTTGTTCAAAGATAAATTTCCTTTTCTGACTACATGTATTAGAGAAATCAGATGTCTGAGATAGAATACTATTGGGTGCATCTCTTCCTTATACAGAATTTTGATTTGAAAGGTAAATGCATACTTTTCAAAACTTATTGAGCAAAATTAGTTCTGCTGTTTTGAATTTGTCTGGAAGTAAAATCAGCCTTCTCTCTACCTTCCATGCTTGTCATTGGATGATCTTTAATTTCATACCTACATATTAGGATTTATGAGAGACAGGGGAACTTTGTTAGTATAATATAATTAATCTGGGAAATGAGGGAAGATGTGTAAATCCAAAGTGGAGAACTGTGGCATTTCAAGTTCTCTGTTAATGAAAAGTTGAGACTTCCTTGAAGCAAGATTGGAAAATTGGGGCGTGATTCATGGAACTGCTTTTATATAGAATTGAAAATACATTGAAGTTTGATCTGCAAAGTATTACAAATATATACAATTAAATTTGAAAGTAGTATAGGATTATATTCAGTTATTTTGAAGTTAAATTTAATTTTTATCCTCTTAACTGCTATTTTCTGCCTTGGGTCTCTTTTCAGAGGAATTTCTGAAGACAGTCAAGTGCAGTGTGATTTATGAGGCAGTGAAGGCCAAGTATTTTGCACTGACGAGAACCTACTTACTTTGGGGAAATCGATGGAGCACATCAGTCTGCAGCACACTTCCTGCCTTAATGCTCCTAAGCTCGATCAATATTTGAAATTTAACTTCACCATCAGTCTGTGGGAAGTGTGTGCTTTGCAGCCTTCCTTCTATCAACCTCAAATATATGGCCAGACCTATTATAGATGGAGCTAGTTACACTTTCCTGTTTGGTTTTGGAACTGCTTTAAGCCTTGTCCATTGGCACATTTTAAGGATGTAAAATGTGTTGTGTTTTAGGCCAAGTAATGATTTAAATCTTGACATAACCTGGACTGGGATGGGGGTGTTGGATAGATCTGTAGTATGGTTGTTTATCATTTCTTCTTCCTAAAATATTTTTCCATTGAGAGACATTTCAATAGATTCTCTAGCATCTTGGAGAGCATTCTGGTACTGACTGTGGCTTTGTTTTCTTTTTAAAAATATTTTATTTATTTATTTAACCCAAAGGTGTTCTACCCCCAGCACTTTTTTTTAAAAAATTTATTTTTATTTTTATTTTTTTAGTTTTCGCCGGACACAACATCTTTTGTTTGTATGTAGTGCTGAGGATCGAACCCGGGCCGCACGCATGCCAGGCGAGCGCGCTACCGCTTGAGCCACATCCCCAGGCCTACCCCCAGCACTTTTAAATTTTATTTATGTTTATTTATTTATTTAATTGTGCTGGAGATTGAACTCAGGGCCTGGGGCATACTAGGCAAATGCTTTTTCACTAGCTACATCTCTATCCCTTTATTTTTTTATTTTTATTTTTAATTTTTGGTACTGGGGATTGAACCCAGAGGCGCTTTATTACTGAACCACATCCCTAGCCATTTTTATTTTTTATTTTGAGACAGGGTCTCACTAAGTGTGCACCACTGTGCCTAGCTCCCAGTCCTTTATTTATTTTTTAATTTATTTTTTGGTGCTGAGGATTGAACCCAGGGCCTTGTGCATGGGAGGCAAGCATTCTACCAACTGAGCTATACTCTCAGCCCCTATATTTTATTTTGAATAAAATAAGTTAAGTTGCTGAGGTTGGCCTCAAACTTTGAACTTCCTGCATCATTTACCTGAGTTGCTGAAATTACAGGTGTGCACCATTGTGTCCCGCAAAAAATCTATTTTTTCAGTCATTTTATATTCACAGAAAATTTGAGAGACAGGTACAAAAATAGCCCAAGATATCTCATATGTTCCCTGCCTCTATATATCTACAGCCTTCCCTGTTAAATATTCCTACCAGAGGAATATTTGTTACAGTTGAAGAATCAGCATTTACTTATGCATCATTATCATCCAAAGTACACATTTACATTAGGATACACTGTTGCTATTATATATTCCATGAGTTTGAAAAAATGCATAATGACATATTCACCATTATGATAGATATAGATTATTTTCATTGCTATAAATTTGGCTTTTTTCCCACAGATTCTCTAACCATGGCACAGGTAGAAAAACGGGGCGGTTTGCTCAGGAAATCTTCAGCCTCCAAAAAACCACTAAAAGAAAAAGTGGTGCTGATGTATGATGAGATCTTTATGGTAAGTCCTGGAGCCCTTCATATTGTATAGCCTGACTTCTTAGTTTCTTAGTTCAGTGAGAAACAACCTTATGTCTGTCTGTCACCTTCAAGTTCCTTAAGAGTGTGGGGAGAGAAAGGGAGGGGTGGGAGGGAAGCAGCAAACCAAAGGACAAGAGCAAGCTCTCAATAGTAGTGATTATGTTGCAGTATTTGGGGATTTAACCCAGGGGTGCTCTACCACTGAGCTACATCCCCAGCCCTTTTTATTTTTTATTTTGGGACAGGGTCTCACTAAGTTGCCCAGGCTGGCCTTGAACTTGCCATCCTCTTGTTTCAGCCTTCACTGGGATTACTTGTTAACTAGAAATTTCTGACTTATAGAATTTCTGTTTGAAAATGATTGCTAACAATTTTTTTGGCTTTAGTACCCTAGTTTTGCTAATCTTTTGGACCAATTTGAATTAAGGAAAGAGCACATTAAAATCTCTGTATAGAGGGGCTTGTGTTGTAGCTCAGTGGTAGAGTGCTTGCTTAGCATGTGTGAGGTACTGGGTTTGGCTTCAGCACCATATAAAAATAAAAGTATTGTATCCATCCACTACGAAAAAAAGTATTTAAAAAAAAAATCTCTGGGGGGGCTGGAATTGTGGCTCAGCGGTAGAGCACTCGCCTAGCACGTGCGAGGCCCTGATTCGATCCTCAGCATACATAAAAATAAATAAAGTAAAGGTATTGTGTACAACTAAGAAATAAATATTAAAAAAAAATCTCTGTATAGAGGACTCCTGGGTTCAACCCTCAGTATTGAAAAAAAAGTTAAAATCTCTGTATAGAGGACTAAGTGTGTATTGTAGGGCAAGTAGAAACAGTCAACATAGGATAATGTGAAAAACCATTGCAATATTACTTAGATCACCTGTGTTCTAACTCTTACCCTTCTGTTAGTCACTTAACTTTGTGGACCCTCTTTCTTGAAAGGAGGACAAATGATAATAATTATCCTTCCTGTCTTACTGGCTAGTTGTATTTTATTTTTTAATTTTTTTAAATTGTAGTTGGACACAATACCTTTATTTTATGTATTTACTTTTTTTATATGGTGCTGAGGATCGATTCCAGTGCCTCACACATGCTAGGCAAGTGCTCTACCGCTGAACCACAGCCCTAGCCTCTGTATTTTATTTTTAAATGGAGTTAAAACCACCATACAAATACAAGGGGACATTGTAATGTGACTTATTTATTCATATTTTTATGTTCACTTCTTACTAGAAGAGAACTATTTGAAGGAAATTTTTTTTTTAGTTTATTTATTTATTTTTATGTGGTGCTGAGGATTGAACCCAGGACCTCGCACATGCTAGGCGAGTGCTCTACCACTGAGCCACAACCCCAGTCCTTGAAGGAAATTTTTTGAGTCATTATTTAACTTTTGTTTCAGGGAATGTATCTCTATGCACAATGCATTCCATTAGGAAAAATAAACTTAAGAATAAAATGTTCTCTCATCTATTACAGCAGTTAGGATAAGCAGCATTTTCAAAGTTAATTTTGAAAGGTAAGGTTGACTATGTGTAGCATTCTTAATTCTTTTGGTGTTAGCTGGGAAAGTTGAAAATGTTTATCTTCTGGTTTCAGACAGAGGACCCCAGTAAGTGTAGTCCTCGGTTTTGGGAAGAGCTTTTCCTTATGAAGGTAAGACTTGATGGCCTCTGTTGGTTTTCATGGTAACTAAGATGGCCATATTTTATGTTCTACTTGCTACACAAAAATGTGCTCAGGCCCTTATTGTTTCATTGGCAGGTGAATTTAGAGTACCTAGAAGGCAAATTGGAATCTCTTGATGGTGAGGAGTTAATGAAGATCAAGGACAATATTAATTGCTTATTTCAACATTGCATCCAGGCTCTGGGAGAGGAACATCCAATTCGTGTTGTCAATGCATTGCAGGTACAAGGCTAGGACCCTGTTGGGGGTTCTTGTTTATCAGAGAAAGGAAGTATAATTCCCTATTGGGACCTGAGGAACCTAGAATTGTCTTTAGGTATGAGGTCCCCCAATCTGCTACTGGGGATTGAACCTAGGGACTCTTTACTACTGAGCTAGTTCCCAGCCCTTTTTATTTTTTATGTGAGACAGGATCTTGCTAAATTGCCAAGGCTGGCCTAAAACTTGGAATACTCTTGTCTTAGCCTCCCAAGTAGCTGAGATTGCAGGCATGTACCCTGTACTCATCTCAACAGCTACTCATTGAACAATTGCTGTGTGTTAAACATTGGACAGAGTGTTGTGTTGGGGGATATGCTTAGCTTCTTTTTTTTGGTACCAGGGATTGAACCCAGGAGCACTTTAACCACTGAGCCACATCTCCAGTCCTTTTTTTTGTTTGTTTGTTTGTTTTAATTTTTTTAGTTGTAGGTGGACACAATGCCTTTATTTTTATTTATTTATTTTTATGTGGTGCTGAGGATCGAACCTAGTGTCTCACCTGTGCTAGGTGAGCGCTCTACCACTGAGCCACAACCCCAGCCCCACCAGTCTTTTTAAATTTATTTTTTATTTTGATATAGGGTTTCATTAAGTTGCTTAGGGCCTCAGTAAATTTCTGAGGCTGGGTTTGAACTTTGATCCTTCTGTCTCAGCCGCCTGAGCTGCTGGGATTGTAAGCATACACCACTGTGCCTGGCCATACACTTGGCTTCTTCTTTTTTTTTTTTTTTTTTTTTTAAAACATTTATTTATTTATTTTTGGTTGTAGATGGACACAATACCTTATTTTAGTTATTTTTATGTGATGCTGAGAATTAAATGCTAGGCAAGCTCTCTACCGTTGAATCACAACCTCCGCCCACACTTGGCTTCTTTAAGGCAGAGATTTTGACACTTTCATTCAATACTTTGTTTTTAGTACATATAACAATGTCCAGCACATAGTTGGTATTATAGAAATAAATTTCTACTGAATGAATGGAAGACAAAGTTTCTAAAGTTTGTAGTCTGCAGGATCCAGTATACCCTAGATTGGGAGTATGTACTTAGGACAGTAATTGACAAGCTTAGATTATAAAGAATTCATAATATAATAAAGGATTTTGTTGGAATTTTTGGTAGACAGGATTTAAATTTCTAATTTACTAGTTTTGAAAATCTTTTTGTGAACCCCAGTTTTCTCATCTGTGTAGAATGGGTAGAATAATTACCTCTTGAATTGATGCCCCAGAAAGAAGGCCTATGTTTATCCTAGAGCCTTGACCTTTGGCACATGTATTTAACATTTGAGTTGTCCAGTAGGGGCTCAATGCAAGTTGAAATAAAAGTTGGAATTATATGTGCAGTAATTACAATGACTCATTATGACGGCAGAAATAAGTTGATCTTAAGCTACTTGATGACCCCCTAAAAGTATAGTACATTACTATAATAGTTAATACAAAACTTCAGGGATGACTCTTCTTTTTCTTCTTTTCCTTCTCTCCCTCCCTCCCTCCCTCCCTCTTTCTTTCTTTCTTTCTTTCTTCTTTCTTTCTGTACTGGGGATTGAACCAGGGGTGCTTTAACATTGGACTGCATCCCTATCCCTTTTTTGATTATTGAGAATGGCCCTAAAACAAGAAGGAGGCAAAAAATGGAAGATGACAACAGTCTTTGTTGCTGTTCCTCTTTTAATTTATGGATTTTGCACATGTTAAGATTCAGACTGTATTTTGGAGCTCAGAGTAACTGAGAAATTATCTATGTAAGAAGGTGGTTCTGAGGTTATAATGTGAGGCTACAGATGTAGTGAGCGCCCTTCTAGTTTGGAGACTTCCTCTATAGAAACAATTCTTTCTTTTACTTCTACAGACCTTGTGTGCACTTATTCGAGGAGTCCATCAAAAGAATAAGTCTACCTCTGGGTTTGATATTATCAACATGCTGATGGGCTTTGACAAGGCGGAGCTTTGCATGAAGGTGAGACATAAGCTGCTGATGTGCCTATGAATGACTGCTTCTAACAGTTGTTCATGAATGTCATCTGCAGAAAGTTGTACTAGAAGATTTGGATTCTCATAGCTATATATGATTAAATTTGGCCTTGGACTTTTTGTGTGTGTGTGTGGTGCTGGGGATTGAACCTAGGGCCTTGTGTATGTGAGACAAGCACTCTACCAACTGAGCTATGTCCTCAACCCAGATATTTTTATTTAATAGATTTTGTTTATCTGAATCAAGGAAAAATTTAACTTTAAATTTGAATTAAGGCAGCCGGGCACAGTGGTGCTTGCCTGTATCCCAGCGACACGGGAGGCTGAGACAGGAGGATTGTAAGTTCAAAGCCAGCCTCAGCAAAAAGCAAGGTGCTAAACAACTCAGTGAGGCCTGTCTCTAGATAAAATACAAAATAGGGCTGGGGGTGTGGCTCAGTGGTAGAGTGCCCCTGAGTTCAATTCCTGGTACCCCCCCCACCTGCAAAACAAAATTGAATTAAAAATCCTTTTTCTACAGGATAAAGGTTGAACAGTTTATTATTGTATCATGTATTTGTGTGAACATTACGAATTTAAATAAAAATATAACAAATGAATATACAAGGGTAATTTTTATTTTATTTTATTTTTTGAAACTTTGGGGATCAAAACTAGGGTATTGGCACCTGCTAGGCAAGCAGTCTGCCACTGAGCTACAACCCCAACCCTTATCAGGGTGTTTTTTTCTCTTTTTTTTTTTTCCTTTTTTTGAAATGGTGTCTCACCATGTTGCCTAGGCTTCTCTTGAACTCCTGGGCTTGAGCTCCTAAGTAGCTTGGATCATAGGCATGTACCACCATGCCTGGCTCAGACTTTTTTTTTGTTATCTACTTTTTGGCACTATCTTCTTTTAATGGGGGGGTTGACTTTTTTTTTTTTAATTTTAATATTTATTTTTTAGTATTTGGCGGACACAACATCTTTGTCTGTATGTGGTGCTGAGGATTGAACCCAGGCTGCACGCATGCCAGGCGAGCACGCTACCGCTTGAGCCACATCCCCAGCCCCTATCTTCTTTTAATGATAGCAGCTTCTTCTTCTTTTTTTGTAACTTTATTTTATTTATTTTCTTATGTGATGCTGTGGATTGGACCCAGTGCCTCCACATGCTAGGCAAGCATTGTACCCCTGAGTCACAACCCCAGCCCCTCATGATAGCTTCTCGATTCGTGTTTCTTACAGTTCACTCTTTTTTTTTTTAAATATTTATTTTTTAGTTGTAGTTGGACACAATACCTTTATTTCACTTATTTATTTTTATGTGGTGCTGAAGATCGAACCCAGGGTCTCGCACATGTGAGTCGAGCGCTTTACTGCTGAGCCAAACCCCAGCCCCCGCTTCACAAAAAAAGTATATAATCTAGTGGGTTTTAGTATAATCACAGAATTGAACAACTATCTCCACTATAAATTTCAGAACCCATTTCATTACCTTTGAAAAAAACCCTATACCTATTAGCAATTATCCCATTATTCCTTATTATCTCTTCTCCCCAGGCACTAAAAATCATTAGCTTGCTTTTTTATTTTTTATTTTATTTTTTGGTACCAGGGATTGAACCCAGGAGGCGCTTAACTACTGATCCCCAGCCCCAGCCCTTTTATATATTTTTATGTTAGAGACAGGGTCTTGCTAAATTTCTTAGGGCCTTGCTAAGTTGCTGAGGCTGGCTTTGAACTTGTGATACTCCTATGTTAGCCTCCTGAGCCACTAGGATCACAGACGTGTGCTTCCATGATCACAGGCATGTGCTACCATACCCAGCCATTAGTTTATGTGTTTCTCCATTCTGGACACCTCATATAAATGAAATCATAATCATATGTAGCTTCTTTTGGGGGTGGGGAAAGGTACTGGGGATTGAACCCAGAGATGCTATCAATGAACTACATCCTCAGTTATTTTTATTTTTTGTTTTGAGGCAGAATCTTGCTAAGTTGCCCAGGGGCTGGCGTTGTTTGCAATCCTCCTGTCTCAGCCTCTGGAGTTGCTGGGATTATAAGCACGTGCCAATGTGCCCATCACCATTTTTTTTTTTTTTTGGTAATGGGGATTAAACCCAGGGCGCTTAACCACTGAGCCACATCTTTTTATTTTGAGACAGGGTCTCAGTAAGTTGCGTAGGGCCTCACTCAGTTGCTGAGGCTGACTTTGAACTTGAGATTCTTCTGCCTCAGCCTCTGAGCCACTAGAATTATAGGCATGTGCTACCACACTTGGCTCAGCACCATGTTTTTAGTAGTTTTTTTTTTTTAATATTTATTTTTAAATTGTAGATGGACACACAATCTTTACCTAATTTTTATGTGGTGCTGAGGATCGAACCCAGTGTCCCATGTGTGCTAGGCGAGCACGCTACCACTGAGCCACAACCCCAGCCCCTCAGCGCCAAGTTTTTAAAGTTCATTCTTATTATAGGACATAGGAATATTTCATTCCTTTTTTGTTGCTAAATAATACTTCCTGGACAGATATACCATATTCTGTTTATTTCATTGCTCATATGAGAGACATTTGGTTTGTTTCAACATTTTGGTTATTATGAACATTGCTGTTCTGAACATATGTATAAGGTTTTGTGTGGATGTATGCTTTCAGTTTTTTTGAGTATCTAGGAGTAGAATTGCTGGGTCATGTATGATAACTCTGTATTTGATGAGCTGCCAAACCATTTTTTTCTTTTTTTGGTACTGGGGATTGAACCCAGGAGTGCTTAACCCTTGAGTCACATTCCCAATCTTTTTATTTTTTATTTTGAGGTAGGTAGGGTCTTGCTAAGTTGCTTAGGACCTGGCTAAATTGCTGAGACTGGCCTCAAATTTGTGATTCTTCTCCTTCAGCCTCCTAAATCGCTAGGATTACAGGTATGTGCCACCATGCCTGGTCTAAAGCATTTTTTTCTTATTAATTGTTCCATTTTATAGTATCACCAGCAATATATGGTAGTTTCAGTTTCTCCATATTAACTATTGTTTTTGTCTGCCTTCTATTTTTTAATTTTTATTTTTTTGAGAAATGTCTATTAAAATGCTTTGTCAGTTTCTAGATTGGGTATTTTATTTTTATTATTGAGTTGTAAGAGTTCTTTGCATATTCTGGATATATTAGTTCCTTATCAGATACATGATTTGCAGTATTTGATAGTTCCTCTCCTGTCACTCACTAAATTTAAATTAAGAAATTCCTCCTTACCCCTAGTACTAGGAATTGAACCCAGGAGCACTCTACTACTGAACTATACCCCCAGCCCTTTTATTTTTTATTTCATGACGAGATCTCACTTGCTGAGGTTGGCCTCAAACTTGGCAATCCTCTTGCCTCAGACTCTAGAGTAGCTGAGATTTTAAGCATATGCCACTGCACTGGGCTTGAGTTAAGAATTTGTTCCAGGGGCTGGGGATGTGGCTCAAGTGGTAGCGCGCTCGCCTGGCATGCGTGCAGCCCAGGTTTGATCCACAGCACCACATACAAAGATGTTGTGTCCGCTGAAAACTAAAAAATAAATATTAAAAAAAAAATTCTCTCTCTCTCTCTCTCTCTCTCTCTCTCTCTCTCTCTCTCTCATTCTCACTCTCTCTTTAAAAAAAAAAAAGAATTTGTTCCAAATAATTTTTATAATGGTGAGGTTACTGGAAATTATGTATATACAATTGTGAATATACAAAGATTTAGTGCTAAGTGTCATTTTAAAACTCTGGATTATTACAGTTTATTTATATATGTGTTATGGTAAAAATCTCAGATCCCTTCTTCATACTTATAGTTCTCCCCACCACCCCCAGTACTGGGATTGAACCCAGGGTTGCTTTTACACTGAGCTACATCTCTAGTACTTTTTATTTTTTATTTTGAAACAGGGTCTCAGTAAGTTGTTAGGTTGACCTTGAATTTGCAATCCTCCTGTCTCAGTCTCTTGAGTTGTTGGGATTACAGGCATGTATCATTGTGCCCAGTTCTTGTTCTAATTATTGCCTATATGCTTTTTTTTTTTTTTTTTTTTGGTACTGGATTGAACTCAGGGGCACTAGACCACTGAGCCACATCCCCAACCCTATTTTGTATTTTATTTAGAGACAGGGTCTCACTGAGTTGCTTAGCACCTCACCATTGCTGAGGCTGGCTTTGAACTCACGATTCTCCCGTCTTAGCTTCCCGAGCTGCTGGAGTTATAGATGTGTGCCGTTGTGCCCAGCTATGCTTTTTTTTTAAGATATCTTTTTTTTTAAGTTGTATATAGACACAATATCTTTATTTTGTTTATTTATTGTTTTATGTGATACTGAGGTTTGAACTCAGTGCCTCACACATGAGGGGCAAGCGAGCCACAACCTCAGCCCCCGCCTGTATACTTTTTTTTAAAATATTTTTTTAGTTGCAGATGGACACAATACCTTTATTTTATTTATTTATTTTTATATGGTGCAGGGGATCGAACCCAGTGCCTCACACACGCTAGGTAACCTCTCTGTCACTAAGCCACAACCCCAGCTTGTCTGTATATTTTGATGCTGTCTCTATCGAGGTTTAATATTTCTTCTTGAGCTTTTGTAAGTGCTTGCTGGATATTCTCTCTCACATATACCATAGATACCTCTTGGTTGACATTTCCAAAATGAAACTTATTGTTTCTCCTATACCTGTTCTTCTCATTCCTTTTGTTTTAGAGTGGGCACCTGTCTTCTCAGGCCCCAAGCCAAAAACCTGGGAGTCATCCTTGATTTTTTTTCCTTTCCATCTTTTTTGTTTTTTTTAGTTGGAGGTGGACACAATATCTTTATTTTGTTTGTTTATTTATTTATTTTATGTGGTGCTGAGGTTTGAACCCAGTGCCTCACCCATGCCAGGAGAGTGCTGTACCACTGAGCCACAACCTCAGCCTGCCTTTCCCTCATTTTTATCTCCAAATGATCACTACAGCTAGTTTTACCTCAGCAGATTTTTTTCAAATCTGTCTTTTCTTCCCCTATTGCCACTGCTCTTTTATATCTCACCTTAACTATTATAGTGATGCCTTTATTTCTTCCTCTTTTTTTTTTCAAACTAAGGTTTGAACCCAGAGTTGCTTTACCACTGAGCCATGTCCCCCACCCTTTTTATTTTTATTTTATTTTGAGATCGGATCTCTCTGAATTGCTATCGGCTTCCTAATTTGCTGAGGCTGTGCTTAAATTTGTGATTTTCCTCCTCAGCATCCTGAATTTCAGGTATTACAGGCATTGCCACTGTGCCCAGCTTATTCATTCTTTTTTTTATTTTTTATTTTGTAGTTGTAGATGGACAGAATGCCTTTATTTTATTTGTTATGTAGTGCTCAGGGTTGAACCTAATGCCTCACATATGCTAGGAAAGCGCTGTGCCACTGAGCCACAACCTTAGCCCCAGCTTATTCATTCTTTTTTTTTTTAATATTTATTTTTTAGTTGTAGTTGGACTTATTCCTTCTTTTGACAAACATTTTTTGAGCTCCTATATGCTAGCACTTTGCTAGGCACTGGGGATACAGAGGTAAATAAGACATGGCTGAGGAAATTGATAGATTTGTTCTCTTTGGTCTCCCTTCCTCCAGGCTTACCATCTTTAAACCTCTCATCCACAGTGATACCAGAGTGATGTAACTTATACTCAGATCTTTTCTGCTTAAAATCCTCTATTAGTCTTTTTATTACTAATAGGATAAAGAAAACTCCCTAGTTAGCCTTATAAAACTTTCATACCTGTACCATATTTATTTCTCCAGTCTCGTCTCTCACCTCTATGCCTCAGCCTCATTCTTTATACTGCTCTAATAACAAACTACTTGTATTCCATCCCCATGCCCAGGGCCATTTCATTCCTCATGTGTCTTTGATCATGATAATGCCTGTCAGGAATCTCTTTCCTCCTCAAGTTTTAATTAATTCCTACTGATTTTGCAAAATCAGACTAACCTCTGAGGAGTCCTGGAATAGATGATTTTTTTTTTTGTGTGTGTGTGTGTGTATGCTTAACTTCTGAGCCATATTCCCACCCCTTTCTTACATTTTATTTTGAGACAGAGTCTCACTAAGTTGCTTAGGGCCTTGCTAAGTTGCTTTGAACTCACAATCCTCCTGCCTCAGCTTCCTGAGCTGCTGGCATTACAGGTGTGTACCACCGCACTCAGCTGGAATAGGTGACTTTTGAGCTACTACTCTTCTTCCATGTATATTTCTGTCATTGTTAACTTTGAATTGATATTGTTTGCTTATTTTTCTCTCCCATTAGACTAAAAGCACCTCAAAAGCAAGGGTCACCAGTTACTTTTTCTTATACTCTTTGAAAGTACACTATCATAGTAGATGCTTACACATTTATTGACTTGAACTGAAGAAGCTTATTTTGAACTTATTCTCTGTTCAATTTTCTCCTCTATTTAACTAGAATATTTCCTTTCTTCTTCCATCTATTATAGTATATAAAAGTTTTATCTTTTTCTTTTCTTTTTTTTTTTTTTTTTGATACCAGGGATTGAACCCAGGGGTGCTTAACCACTGAGCCACATCCCAGTCCTTTTTTTTATATTTTATTTAGAGACAGGGTCTCACTGAGTTGCTTAGGGCCTCACTAAGTTGCTGAGGCTAGCTTTGAACTTGCAATCCTCCTGCCTCAAGTATTCAAATAAACTGCTGATATTACATGTGTGTACCACCGAACTGCTGGTATTACACATGTGTACCACCGCACCTGGCAAGTTTCATCTTTTGATTAGTTTGAGTCTAAAAGCTGATTTTTAGTGCAAGAAATAAACTCAAATCATATTGTCAAGGAATTTGACCAGGATGGACACATCTTTGTTAGTACTTATGGCCAGTGATGCCAGTAGTGATATTGTCCCTTTGTCATTTCTTCAGTATACCTAAATCAAGTGATGATATCTCTATATACAGTTATTTAATCATTAGGTTTTCCTTTTTCAACTTACCCCATTCTAATCTGAAGATTTAAATATGGATGACAGGCTGCAAACATTCATTTGGTAGAAGAGTAAATTCTTCATTGTTTTGTGGAATTGTTCTCAAGCATTTCCCCCCAAATAGCTAGACTTTGAAACCTTCTTTTTCTTTGATTTTGCAAGGGCTAGGCCTAGGGGAATGATATAGTTGCTTCATGGTGCATTATTCACATTACCCTGTGTAACATAACCCAGCGTTGGGCAAAGATGGGATGTAGGTGTTTAGTGGTATGGCTTAATATTTAATGGTTCTCTTTCTCAGAACTTGATGGAGAGTTTGGATTCATTGCTTTGTGCAGAAGGTTCTGAAAGTCTGAAGAGTTTATGTCTGAAATTACTACTTTGCTTAGTGACTGTAAGTAATCCATTTATATGTTTGTCAAGGGTATTAACTGACAGCAGAGGCAAGCTTATTTGAATACTTGAGCCCAAAATTAGAAGTGAAAAGAGGAAAAAAAAATTCTTTACTGGGGTATTGCATCACTTCCTCTTATCTGAATGTATATAAGGTAGTAGTTGCCTGGACTTTTGCTTCCTGGAAGTTATTCTTTGGAGTAACTGCTAGAATTTTTAGCCTGCAGATGATGTGATACTTATCATTTTAGAAGGACCATTTTAGGGGCTGGGGATGTGGCTCAAGCGGTAGCGTGCTCACCTGGCATGTGTATGGCCTGGGTTCGATCCTCAGCACCACATACAAACAAAAATGTTGTATCCGCCGAAAACTAAAAAAAAAAAAAAAATTAAAAAAATTCTCTCTCTAAAAAAAAAAAAAAAAATAGAAGGACCATTTTAGGAGAACTACAATCTTCTAGATTGTCAGATTTGTCCTCATCAGGTTTCACTTGAAAATGGCTCTTGTGATTCTGAATATTTTTATATGGTCTGGCTTTTATTTTATTTTTTTAAGAGAGAGAGAGAGAGAGAGAGAATTTTTTAATATTTATTTTTTAGTTTTTGGTGGACACAACATCTTTATTTTATTTTTATGTGGTACTGAGGATTGAACCCAGCGCCCTGTGCATGCCAGGTGAGCGTGCTACCGCTTGAGCCACATCCCCAGCCCTTATTTTATTTTTTAAAAATATTTTTTAGTTGTAGTTGGACACAATACCTTTCATTTATTTATTTTTAATGAGGTGCTGAGGATCAAACCCAGGGTCTTGCATGTGCTAGGCAAGCGCTCTACCGCTGAGCCACAACCCCAGCCGTGGTTTTGATTTTATAACTAGACACTTGCCTCTACTCCTTAGTGGAAGGAGGGTGAGATGTTGTTTATATACTTCAGGTACTTCCCTTTTCCTTCCACCTCTTGAAGACTTTTGGATTTGTGAATGTCTTCTTGGGTATTTAAGGATTGAAATGCAGGAAACTATTAAGCAAATGCTTGTGAGAGTATGAGAGAAATAATAAGTTCAGATTTAGGAAGTTTTAATTTGCTAATTTCCTACCTTCATAGTGACTGCCTATTCAGGCTCTGGTAGCTTTGGGATGCTTATGCTTGTGAAAGGTCTACTAAGTATGTAGTAGAGTGTTTCTACATTTCCATTTCACTTAGACATTAGGGTAGGAGATACACATGAGATATCAAGTGCCTTAAAACAGACTTAAAAAGCTTTTTATTCCATTCAGGTGACAGACAACATCAGCCAGAACACTATCCTGGAGTATGTAATGATCAACAGCATATTTGAAGCAATTTTACAGGTAGCTTTGTCACCTCTTTGTCTTTTGGATAGATCATCTCCTCAAATGTTGTTGGTCTGTTTTCTCAGGTGCCAGGAGTTAGCAGTCAGGAGTTACGTATTTCTGGTTCTTGTTACAGATACTTTCCCATCCCCCAAGTCGTAGAGAGCATGGGTATGATGCTGTTGTCCTCTTGGCTTTGCTGGTAAACTACAGAAAATATGAGGTAAGGGGATCCTGAAGGGCAGTTGTTCTTTTTATAATCTTCCTACATGTGGCGCCTCTTAAATGTGGAAGATATGTTCTTGGTAGATAGTGTGAAGATTAATTTTGATAAACCAAATTCTTCAAATGCAATAATTAAATGCATGGGGCAGAGAATATAGTTGTTTAAAGGAATCTTGTAGTATAACCACTGAGTCACATCCCCAATTCTTTTTATATTTTATTTAGAGTCAGGGTCTTGCTGAGTTGCTTAGGGCTTTGCTAAGTTGCTGAGGCTGACTTTGAACTTTCAATCCTCCTGCCTCAGCCTCTGAGCTCAGGGATTACAGGTGTGTGCCACCATACCCAGCTCTCTGTAGTATAGTTTCTAATGAAGTATCTCTTAATGTAGTGGCTTCTAAATGCACTTATTAGAGTGACTTACGAATTTGTTAAAAAGAAAAAAGTTTTGGACTTTAATCTGGACATACCACACTGATGTAGAATTTTGTGGGAGGGGAGCTGTGAATCTTTTTAAAAACATTATTATTGGGCTGGGATTGTGGCTCAGAGGTAGAGCGCTCGCCTAGCATGCGTGAGGCACTTGGTTTGATCCTTAGCACGGCATAAATATAAAATAAAGACATTGTGGCCACCTATAACTAAAAAACAAAACAAAACAAAACAAAACCAAAAAACAACAACAAAAAAAACCCAACATTATTATTATTTTAGAAATCCCCAGTTCAGTAGGTTGATTAGTCAGGATTGGGAACCACTGACTTAGTGCATTTGGTTTGAAAGATTCTTATTTTTATTATATTTCCTTAATAAAGTCTGTTTGTATAAGTATTACTGATGGTTTGAAAACTTTTTCTGATTTTAATGAAAAAGTTGAAGGCAGGGCCTTACCCATATCAGTTCTGGAGTTGTCTTTGCCCCTGAATTAATTAGGGTACAGATTTTTGAAATGAAGAACAGATCCCAGAGATCAATGTGTGGGTTTGATATATGTACTTGGTTCCTTTCAGAAGGCAGAATACACCGAAAAGGAAGGAGAATACTCAGGGAAGACCAGGGCCTTCATTGGGGATTCCTTTTAAGGACAAGGAAGTTTTTCACATATAGTCCTAGACAACAGGAGTACTTTACTAAACCAGGAAGTCATGCATTACTTGAGGCAATCTGACTTTCTCCCCTTAATAAGTAGCAGCAGCACTATGAGAAATGGGCCAGTTGGAGAGAAGATTTTCTTTTCTGAGCTTCTGGCTCTTAGTGATTTTTGATATGATTCCTAGTTAGAATTTATTTGGGCAGGTTCAAAGTGAGGGGTAACACAAAATCTGAAGCTGCTGCTGCTGCTGCTTCTTTTTTTTTTTTGGTACTGGGGATTAAACTCAGAGGCACCTGACCACTGAGCCACATCCCCATCCCTATTTTGTATTTTATTTAGAGATAGGGTCTCATTGAGTTGCTTAGCGCTTCGCTGTAGTTGAGGCTGGCTTTGAACTTGTGATCTTCCTGCCTCAGCCTCCTGAGCAGCTGGGATTACAGGTGGGTGCCACCAAGCCCAGCTGGAGCTTATTCTTTTTTTTTTGGTGGTGCTGGGGATTGAACCTAGGGCCTTGTACATGCAAGGCAAGCACTCTACCAACTGAGCTATATCCTCAGCCCTGGAGCTTATTCTTTTCTTTTCTTTTTCTTTTTTTTTTTTTTTTTTTAATATTTTTTACTTGTAGTTGGACACAATATCTTTTATTTTATTTATTTTTATATGGTGCTGAGAATTGAACCAAGTGCCTCGCAAGTGCTAGGCGAGTGTTCTGTTGCTGAGCCACATCCTCAGCCTGTGGAGCTTACTCTTATAAGGAGAGATATGGAAGAAGGAAAGGCTATAAGGAGGAAATAATTAAAGAGGGACTGGAATATGGAAAAATGTTAATGTGTTATAAATCCTAGGAGTTGTTCATTTTTATCATCTTGGAGGACCTGACGAATGGGGCATACAACTACTAGCAAATATATAATTTATCACCAATACCCGTTTTACTGGTGATCTGAAGGGACTGGCATGGTAGCCATTGTGATCTTTGTCATGTGTGAGTGCCTCTGGAGCCTTATTACAACAACAAGAAAAATAGCTGAGGAAAAGTGCTGAGGATAGTTAAAGAGAGTTGAGTTATGTGACAGGAATGCATCATCATCAGTAATGAATATTTTCAGAACATTCTGGTGGATGCAGGCTATTCTGAGGCAATAGTTTGGCTTTTCTAACTGTAAACTGAACCCAGGCTTAGCTCAGTAGGGCTTTCTGAAATGTCAGCCTGAAAAATTGGACCGGGCCAAGGAACTGGAGAAAATCACATTTCTGGAGTGAAGTATGCATCTTTGGTCTGTCAGATGCCCCCAGAAGAATTAATATAGTAGGCAGGGGCAAGCTGGTGGGCATAATTTATCTGGGCTTTGCAGCTTTTGTTATAAGTCACTCAACAGAAATCATTAAGGATGTCTGGGGACTGAAGAGCAGGAAGGTTTTTGACAGGAACACGAGGAATTTCAGATGAACATAGCAAAACCAAAAGCTGGTGAAATCTTATGAAAACTAGTAGTAAACTAGTAGTTTTCATAAGTAGAAGAAGGTGTACTAGGGAGAATAGCATTCTAGCTATTGCCAGAGTTGATCCCATGACAAGAAGAATAAAAATGAGTTCTAGAATGGTATAGAGGTTATTAGACAACCTAGATACCCAACTAAGAAAGTAAATGAGGTATTGGACATAAGGGATAGAAATCATGGAAAAGATGCCATGTAGTTAATATATCATCTAAAGAGGTAGAGGAGGCCCCAGATCAACTAACGAATAAACAAAAAGGTCTAGGGAAGAACAATGAAAATAACAAGTAAAACTTAGATCAGCCGGGTGCAGTGGCACATACCTGTAATCCCAGCAGTTTGGGAGGCTGAGACAGGAGAATCCTGAGTTCAAAGCCAGCCTCAGCAATGGGCAAGGTGCTAAGCAACTCAATGAGACCCTGTCTCTAAATAAAATACAAAATAGGGTTGGGAATGTGGCTCAGTGGTCGTGTGCCTCTGAGTTCAATCCCTGGTTCCAAAACAAAAACAAAAATTTAGTCAAATAAAGGCAGGATCCCATTGGAATGATTCTGTGAAGGTTCACTGAACTTGTAATTCTGTCCGGTGGGTAAAAAAGTAGATTCCCTCTAGTATTTTTTTAAATCATTTAAAAAAATATATACATATATATATTTTTGTTGTTGATAGACCTTTATTTTATTTATATGTGGTGCTGAGAATCAAACCCAGTGTCTCACACATGGCAGGCAGGTGTGCCACAGCTGAGCCACAGTCCCAGCCTACCTCTAGTTTTAAAACTGACCAGCACAACATGAGTAAGTGCCCAGAGTGGGGGTTATCTACACCTGGGTTATGCTCCCCTCTACAAAGATGGAAATCACTAGCAAGAGATTGCCCTTCCCTCTGAAGGCATGAGGGGTCATCTGTTCTAGTTATGGCTGTTCTAGAAGTCTGAAGATGGCTACATCTCTTCAAACTGCTTTTGATCAACTGGTTATCACCTCAGGAGAACCTCTGGTGACTCTAGGTCCAGGTAAACATACTAACTTCCTTTAGGATATGGGGCTTAGTTCTCATGCTTAGTTGAACCTCCTGGACCCGCTTCTAATCAGACTTGTGTTGTGACTGGTATTGATGGAGCCCCAAGGCCAAATGGTTTATAAAACCTCTAACTTGGTCAGTGCTTGACTTGGAATGCTTCTCTTTTTAGGAGTAATGGGGTTATATCTGAGGGCATTGATAGACTTCTATAGTTGGTGTTCTCGAAATGATTTTGATATGCCTGTGTGTCCCTGCACTCCTGATTTAATTCAACAAGATCACAGGTGGTGATTTTTTATTGATATGAATAAATTATTGATCAGTTTGGGAAAAAAAAAGTGACCAGCACAACAGGTTCAGTATTAATGATAATCAATGTCTAGAAGAATAGAAATTTTCACACCATCAAGATCCTGGCCTTCTAGGCTGGTCAAGTCATTTGAGATGAAGTGACACAGATCCAACTGCTATCCTGAGCATGGTATATCACAGAAATCACAAAATTGTTTATTACATCTACTTGGAAGTTGTTCCTTTTCTTTTTTTTCCCCTTCTCTCTTTTTTCTAAAGAACTTTTCTTTGAATGCTAATAATGTTAAAGGGGACAAAATAACAGCTACCAATTATTATTATTATTTTTTAATATTTGATTGTTAGTTTTAGGTAGGCCTAATATCTTTATTTTATTTCTATGTGATGCTGAAGACCAAACCCAGTGCCTCCTGCATGCTAGGCGAGCACTCTACCACTGAGCCACAACCCCAGCCAGTTTTTTTTTTTTTAATTTTTATTTCTGTAGTTGTAGATGGACAGAATGCCTTTATTTTTTTAATGATTTTTATTTATTTATTTATTTAGCATTACAATTCTTCAGAATGCCTTTATTTTATTTGTTTATTTCTTTTATGTGGTGCTGAGAATCGAACTCAGTGCCTCATGCATGCTAGGCAAGTACTCTGCCACTGAGCTACGGCCCCAACCCAGTTACCAATTATTAAGCTCTAACTATATGCCAGATATATGTTAAGGATTTTACATGTTTTATTAAAGTATTTTAGCAGTCCCAGGATAAAAAATATCCCCATTTTACAGTTGAAGAAATTGAAACTTAGGTTAATTAATGTGAACTTGTCATAATTAATAAGAAGAGGAATTGGAACTCAGACCTTTGCTTTTAGCTGCTTTGCCTTTTCCTCAGCTGCTGCTGAAGCATATGCTGGTCTTGGTAATCAGATGATTCTTTCTGTTACCTAACACTGCCTAATTTTGGGAAGCCGAGTGACTAGGACTTGGAAAAATTTTGCCAAGAAACAGTGGTCTCTTGGTCTATCCTTTCTTTCCTTTTTTAAATTAATTAATTTATTTATTTATTCATTTTTATTAGGGTATTGGAGATTGAATTCAGGGACACTCTATCACTGAACTTTATCCCTGCCATTTTTATTTTTTGTTTTGAGACAGGGTCTTGCAAAATTGTCCATGCTGGCTTCAACTTGTAATTCTCTTGCCTCAGTCTCCCAAGTTGCTGGGGTTATAGGCATGGGCTACTGCACCTGGCTATGGTCTACTCTTCTTTTTTTCCTTCCCTTCCTTCCCTCCTTTTTCTGTCTTTCCTTTACTGGGGATTGAACCCAGGGGCACTTTATCACTAAGCTATAGTCCCTATGCTTTTTATTTTTTAATGTTGAGGTGGTTTCACGAAGTTGCTTAGAGCCTTGCTAAATTGCTGAGGTTGGCCTTGAACTTGTGATTGTCCTGCCTCAGCCTTCTAAGACCATTGTGCCTGGCTGGTCTGCTCTTTCTAATGTTGCTGTCATCCTGGTGACATCTCTAGATCAGCTAAGTGCAGATTGTCTTTTCCAAGGATCTACATGCATTGGATCTTGCCTGAAGTTTATTGTATCAGCGGGATTTGACTGTTGGTTACAGGAAGATGTATTGAGAGCCTTACTATAGTCAAAACAAATAACAAATGGAGTGGGTTCTACCTCTTTGAGTTACATTATGTAAAACTTTATAAACATTTGGACTGTTAAGCAAAGCTCTCTTTCTCTATCCCAGTTGACAATGCAAAAGATGCTCTCAGAATCTTGATTAAATGAGCTCTCTGTTGGGGGTGGGCAGGGGGGTTAGCCTTTCAATTGGGTTTTCAAGTTTCTTCCTAATGAGTTTTCTTGTAGCTATAAAAACTGCTAGTCTGAGACTATTGTTACTTGCTTCCCTTGGGCTAGAGTTGGTGCCTGATCTGTATGAGGTCTTTCTATACATCCTATGTGTGGGATATTTTCAAGGTGAGCAGGTCATTGGTTCCTGTATCACTTGTAGGAGATGGCTCAATTTTCTAATAAGTTTAAATATATGTCCATTTCCATATGTTTCCAAGCTGAAATTGGGTCACTAAAAACTCAAGAAATCTTTCAGTGCTATAAGTGATGGGACAATCATTAAATCCCAGTGTCCTAACCAGATTATTGCTTGGGTAATTACATCTTTTTTTTTTTTTTCCAGCTCCCCTGCAGTGTTATTTGGGAATCAGATCTCCATAAATGGCCTCTCTAGCTGTTAAGCAGCTGCCACTTTCTACCCCCAAGATGGCTTTGTTTTAAGAGTGGGTGAATCAGTCCTTGTATATAGTTTGTGAAATGGTTAGGGAGCCTTTGGATTGAGAATATAAGTTAGCAACTTACATATGTGCCTTATTGCAGGGAAGCTTTTCTGTCTCCTAAGACAGTATCCCTAAGCACTTGGGATGGTAGGACAAAGTGAGTTTTGTGGAATGTTCACTTACTTTTTAGAAACAAAAAGGAAAGGTGGGCGAAGTTATAGACATAGGCTTGAGCTAATTCAGCCTAGAGGAAAATGTGGGTAGAACAGAACTGACCTGTGTGTATGTACGTGTATTCATGTACATCTGTGCATTTGATAAATGCCCATATGTGCTGAGAAATTTTCTGGAAATTAGGGGAGTCAGCACTCAAGAGGTTTGGGGCTGGGTTTTGGTAATATCACTGTAGAGAAAAAGGCCTTAAACAAGCACTTTTTTTTTTTTTTTGGTGGTACTAGGAATGGAACCCAGGGCCTCACTCATGGCAGGCAAGCACTTTCCCATTCAGCTATATCCTTGGCCCCCTGTTAATACTTTCTTAAATAGCTGAAGGGCTTTTTTAACTAGGTCACACTCACCTTGACTCTCTTCTGTTGTTTACAGTCTGTGAATCCTTATATTGTGAAGCTGTCTATTGTGGATGACGAGGCCACACTCAATGTGAGTATCTGGATCTTGGTGTATTGTCTTATTTGAATTCAGTGGCCTTATTTTCAGTGGACATTTAGAACAAGAGAGCAGAGAGGTACTGTGTTGCTTTCTTTGGCTAGAAAGAGGGAATTGGTATTTTTAGAGTCTTCTTCTTAGTGTCATGGAAGAAAGGTTTGAGGGGACATTTTTTGCTTGCTATTCATGATGAAGTGGCTACTTATTTTCATGTTGTAGTGTGCTGAGTTTGACTTCCTATAAAGTCAATAAGTTATACATCCAGGAGTAAGAAAGCTTAGGTGACTTAATGATGGGAGGTTCCTTCTTGTGGAACAAGCTAGATGATATAAAGAGCCTGATTTGGTGAAGCTGAAATATGAAGGATGATGTATATTTGCTATATATGTTCTTGAAAGTGTGTGAGATAATATATCTGGTCTCTGAATATGGAGAGAAGAAGATGGCCAGGTGTCTGACTTTATTTCCTCTCTATCCTATTTTCTTCAATTTCCCTTATGAAAAAAATGTACACACGATTCATCCTTGCATCCTCAATTGATCTTTGTATTAGGCTTTACAGGTTCTCCAGGAAAGTTGATAAGTTACTTCAACATTTATTGGATGCCTCTTTCCTTTTTATTGCTATTTTCTTGTGGCCTGAGTGAATGGCTCATCTATATGCACCTTCATTTAGCATGGGACTCATTGTCCCTTTTATTGTGGCTGTTTTGAAGGTAAATGAGGGCTTTTTGTTTGAATATTCTTAGTCTTCTCTTTGGAATGAAAATGATCCCAGTGAAATTGTCAGTAATCTGAGTTGGTCTGTTTCAGCCCTTGTTACTTTATTTTAAATTGTATCTGGGAACATTACTTTATTTTAAATTGTATCTAAGAACATTAATTAGATAAGAAAAAATACTTCCAAAGAGTTTTTTCCCTCTTGGTTTGATAGTACCTTTCAAAATTTCTGTCATTGTTGCCAACTTTTAGACAGAACTTCTTGGGCATGGTCCATGGGGGTTTAGTGTTTTTCGTGGCTGAGTCATACATCACCACCAACCCACAAAGGCTACTCATTTATTTCATATGAACTATCTTTTCTCTTTCAGGGAATGGGGCTTGTAATTGCTCAGGCTTTATCTGAGTATAATAGGTAAGTCAATCTTTCCAGAAGGGAAAAGTCCAATTTTTATTTGGATTAGTTGTGTAGGGAACAGGTTTGTTATAGTTCTTAGCTTAAATTCCCTGGACCTATCCCAAAAGAGTATTCAGAGGTATAAGATCAGTTTGCTCCAGCACAGCTTGATGGTAGTAGCAGGGGTTGTTATTTATTTATTTATTTAATTTTAATTTTTGGTACTGGGGATGAACCTAGGTATGCTTTACCACTTTACCTCCCCAGCCCTTTTTTATTTTGAGACAGGGTTCTCACTAAGTTGGTTAGGGCCTTGTTAACAAGACCTTGCTGAGACTGGCCTTGAACTTGAACTTTCCTGCCTTAGCCTCCTGAGTTGCTGGGATTATAGGTTTGCAACACCACACCTCACAGAGCAGGGGTTGTTTTTAAAACCAAGATAAAAATAGCCACCAGATTAGTATCCATCTTTGGTTTAAGCAAATAGGAACATTCTTTTCCAGTTTATGGGTATTTTTTTGCAGAACATTTTTACTAGTTTTCCCATTTTAAGCAGTCTATTTCATTCAGCCCATGTGTCATACAAATATTATTTTCTAATATAAAAAAGTTTGTGATGTACCACTTTTTTGTACTCTTAAAAAAAAAAATAAAGGAAACTGGGCATGGTGGTGCATGCCTGTAAACTTAGTGACTTGGGAGGCTAGGCAGGAGGATAGGAAGTTTGAGACCTGCCTTAGCAACTTAGCAAGACCCTCAAGCAACTTAGGGAGTCTTGTCTCAATATAAAAAATAAAAAGGGACTGGGACTGGACTGGGGTTGTAGAGTGTTTGCCTAGCACATGTGAGGCCCTGGGTTCAATCCTCAGTACCATACAAATAAATTAATAAAATAAAGGTATTGTATCCATCTACAACTACAAAAAAAAAAAAAAAAAAAAATAAAGGGACTGAGACTGTAGCTTATTGGTAAAGTATCCTTGGGTTCAATCCCCAGTACCTAAATAAATAAAAGAAGAAAGTGTATTGAGTTAAATCAACTTCGACAGATCTATCTCACTTCCCTCCCACTCACTTCTCTCTCTCCTGCGGATTGAACTCAGGGCCTCATGCATGCTAAGCATGTGCTCTACCACATGTTTGAGCTATGTTTCTTTTTTACTAGTGATCACCCTCACCTTCCCAGTGTCCCTCTTTACTCTGGGGGCTCTGTTTGTTTTTCCTCTAGCTGTGCATAGGGGAAGGATATGGTATTCCACGATTGAAAACCTGAAATATCTCTAATCCCTGCAAAGGCCATGAAGGATTTTTCTTTCTTGCTTCTTTCCAGACTTTCCTTACACACAATTGGTGTCAGGATTTCAAATCTGTCCCATCTCCACATGTTTTAGCTCTCTGGTTTTCCTCCTTTTCCTTCAGAAACAAACAAGATTTTCACTGTTACAGCCTTGAAGTAATTTCACTGTCACACTTTTCAAGTAATAGTCTGTTTGGGAAATAACTGGATCAGCCATATGTTAGAGCAGTTTCACACTTTTGCAGCTTGCTTTCTAAGTCTCTCTCAAAGTAGCCAGGCATTTTGGTACACACTACTTCAGGAGCAGATGGGTGCCTCTAGCTTGCGGGGGAACTGCAGTGGCATTGTCATAATGCTTTGTTCTTCTGAAGTTAGAGAATTCAGAGAGCTCTGCCCTGATTATCTAGAATGTTGAGGACAAAGATGTATTTCATAAGTAATCCTAAAGTTGAATTTAATTCTTTTTTTGTTTAGACAGTATAAAGACAAGGAAGAAGAACACCAGAGTGGCTTTTTCTCTGCTTTAACAAATATGGTAAGTCCTACTTATTTTTTTCTCCTGCTTTTAGAAATGCAGGGTTAGGTAAATCTGGCATCAGATATTCAGATGTTTGAGGTGATAGAATGATGAAGGGCCATCATCATGGCATGAGAGAGGCTACTCAGAGCAGATTTTATTTGGAACTTTGTCTCTGTTATTGAGTTCCAAAACTAGATAAGATGGGGAGAGGGGAACTTTGACTCCTCTTAGACTCATTTTTTCCTAATTAATTGATTGCTGAAGAAAAGGTGCATAGGAAGACTTTTGCTTTTGTAAGTGTTGACCCTGATTGCAGACTGACCCTTGGAACAAAGAATAGGAGAGTTTAGGGGCTGGGGTTGTGGCTCAGTGATAGAGCACTTGCCTAGCATGTGTGAGGCACTGGGTTGGATTCTCAGAACCACATATAAATAAATGAATAAAATAAAGGTCCATCAACATCTAAAAAAGTTAAAAAAAATAGGAGAGTTTAGATCTGAGTCCTCCCTACCCCCCACCCCAAATGCTCTTTTATACTCTCCTGTGGCCATGTGATCCCTAATAGCTGGTCCTATGGTCAAAGGGTCACAGTATAGTGGATGTGAGCTACTCCTCTAAAGGCTTAGTTAGGTTCTGGGCAGAGAGGTCCAAGGTTTAGGAAAAGATATTGGTCTAGCTTGCAATACTCCAGAGTAAGGTTTCATAACTTTGGAAGCACTGGCATTTTGGATCAGATAATATGGGCTAATTTTTAAGAGAGAAATCTAGGAGGTTCTAGAATTTAGGCAGATTCACAAAGTCTGTCTTCTTAGGCATTAGTATCCAAGTAATCAGCTCTAGAGCAAGATTGTTACATAGTTTATTGCAAGAAACAGTTGCCCTATCTCCTCCCACACAAAGATGCAATTTTTCCCCCCAGTGTCTTCCCATCTTCCTTCTCAGAGCATGCTCTCAGGAAAGAACCTGCTAAACTCTGAGGTATGAATGAGTGAAATCTCTCAGAGGCAAGAGAAGTATGAGTTTTGTATTGGTGTTTGATTATACAAATTGATCTAATTATGTTGCTCACAGGGATCTTCAACTTTTAGTCAAGGAGAAAAAGTTTTGTGGCATTTTTAGGGGGTGGGCATCTTTTACATGCCTCTGAAATCACACATATGAGAGGCAATTTATGCCTTTTATCTATTTGCCTGCTGTTACAAACTAAGATTTTTGTGATCTGAAGGATAAGCATGGATCTCACACAGTTCTTGTCTGAAATGCATATATCCCCTAAATATCTAGTTGGATGTAATCAGCATGCTTTCTTTGACATTTTCTTTTTTTGGGTGGGGGGTACTAGGGATTGAACTCAGGAGCACTTGGTTATTGAGCCACACCCCCAGCCTGTTTTATTTTATATTTTGACACAGGGTCTCTCTGAATTGCTTAGTGCTTCGCTTTTGGTGAGCCTGGTTTGAACTTGTGATCCTCCTGCCTCAGCCTTCTGAGCTGCTGGGATTACAGGGGTGTGCCACTGTGCCTGGCTTCCTTGACATTCTTTATGGGTTAGTTTGTGACTGCAAATAAGCAACTTATAGGAAAGATGCAGAGTGATAAGGAATTGTATGTCCTTTTAGTTGACAGTGGCTAAATTACACACTGTAAGAAAGAAGGACTACATAAAAATACTGGGATTTTAAAAAAAGTCCTTTGAGACAAGCTGATTCAGTTGGATTCTCTTCATTTATTACTTATAAATCTTTTGAGATCTTCAAAGTGAACTGGTGTTGTGTGTGTGGCTGATGATCCAAAGTTCTAAGTCTTTTCCTGCTGGAAAGAATTTGATTTTATACTGATTCAAAGGCTTCCTAGGCACATAACTTTTTCTTGCATCCTACTGTATAAAGTCTGTAATTCTCCTTTTCTTCCACAGGTGGGCAGCATGTTCATAGCAGATGCCCATGAGAAAATCTCAGTACAGTAAGTGTCTTGACATTCTTGTGCAGTGATTTGAATTTTAGTGTAGGCTATCTTGCTGGTTATGAGAGTGGAAAAGGTTACCTCTTACTAATCTTTTTCAGATTGAAACTTTTTTTGGGTGGTTTATCTAATGTTTCTTTTTTTGCTTTCTGCTTGTTTTTGATGCTGGAATTGAACCCAGGGATGTTGTGCATGCTAAGTACTGTAGCTAAGTAGTTATAGCTATTTTCCCCTTTTTTTGTGTGTGGGGGTGTACCAGGGATTGAACTCAGGGGCACTTGACCACTGAGTTACATCCCCAGCCCTATTTTGTATTTTATATAGAGATAGGGTCTCACTGAGTTGCTTAGCACCTTTCTGTTGCTGAGGCTTGCTTTGAACTCTTGATCTTCCTGCCCCAGCCTCCTGAGCTGCTGGGATTGCAGGCATGTGCCACTGTGCCTGGTTCCCCAGCCCTCTTTTTTGAGAAAGGATCATCCTCGCTAAATTGCTCAGGATGATCTCGAATTTATTGAACCTCCTGTCTTAGCCTCCTTAGTTGAGATTGGGTTTTATTTTTCTATTTATTTTTATTTTTTTGGTTCTGGGGAATGAACCCAAATGTGCTTAACCGCTGAGCCATATTCCTCGTCCTTTTTTATTTTGAGATAGGCTGTCACTAAGTTGCTGAGGCTGGTCTTGAACTTGCAAGCCTCTTGCCTCAACCATCCAAGTTGCTGGGATTACAGCATATGCCCACTATGCATGGCTCTGTCTGGGTTTTAAGTAATGGACCCTTGGAAATATCTGCTTTGGTCTTATATGTATAGAGCTTCCCAAACTGAAAAACTATTCTCGTTTCTCTCTGGAATTAAAGGAAAAAGGGCTGGGTATCTGAGGTAGTTAAGGATTTAACTGTTGGGGTAGAAAAGCAAGAGGGAAGGTAGTGAATGAACTAGAATAAGAAATGGTCAGACTGGGGGCGTAGCTCTGTCGTAGAGTGCTTGCCTAGCACATGTGAGGCACTGGTTTGATCCTCAGCACCACATAAAAATAAATAAATAAGTAAAATAAAGGTATTGTGTCCATCTACAGCTAAAAAAAATTAAAAAAATAGAAATGGTCATGGGAATTAGGGTTTTCACCTGTACACTTTTGCATATTCCCAAAAGGAAAGTAAAAGGGAACATTTGAAACTCAAAGGGATTGGTAATAGAGAACTATGGTGAAATCTTGTCTTGATGGGTATAATATTTTAACTTCTCCACTTTAAGAGCCTACTCCAATTTGTTCTCTTTTTCTTTAGAACCAATGAAGCCATTCTTCTCGCACTTTATGAAGCTGTTCATTTAAATCGCAACTTCATCACAGTATTAGCTCAGGTTGGTTACTTTAAATATCCCAATTCCTTTTTTCCCCTGAATTTCATACAGATTCATTTCATTAACAAGGCTACCTGGTATATCTGTTTAAACTCTACTTTGCATTGGTAAGTGGTAAGGAGCAAGCTACCACTTTACTGTGCCTAAGTGATATCCTCAGTGGTTGGGACAGAAGGACACTAAAATAGGCTGAGAACTCAAGTTCATGAAAGCTATGTTAAAAAATTGATAAAAAGTGTTTTTATCTTCAAGCCAGACTCTTTAAAATACGTATGTGGGTTTCTTTCTTTCTTTCCTTTCTTTTCTTCCTTCCTTCCTACCTTAGGATCTCACGTATAGGCACTCTACCATAAACTACATCCCCAACCCTTTTTAAGTTGTCTAGGCTAGCCCTGAATTTGTAATCCTCCTGCCTCAGTGTTCCAAGTAGCTGGGATTATACTAATGCATCCAGTTTAGGTTTCTATTAAAGAAAACTTTGCTTGTGTTTTTTTTTTTTTCTCAAGATGTGTATGGAATCTACTGTTTGAGGCCGCCCCCCCCCCCCACCCACCGCCCAGTACTGAGGATAGAACCCTGGGCCACTATCCCACTGAGCTACATCCCCATCCCTTTTTATTTTATTTTGAGACAGAATCTCACTAAGTCACTCAGGCTGGCCTCAAACTTGCCATCCTCTTGCCTCAGCCTCCAGAGTTTCTGGGATTATAGGCTTGTACTACCATAGCCAACTGCTGATTTGAGTTTTTTTTTTATTTATATTTTTTTAATATTTATTTTTTTTTAGTTTTCGGCGGACACAACATCTTTGTTTGTATGTGGTGCTGAGGATCGAACCCTGGCCGCACGCATGCCAGGTGAGCGCACTGCTGCTTGAGCCACATCCCCAGCCCTGATTTGAGTTTTAACTAAAAAAAATAAATAAAGTCATGTTTTAAAAGCAGTATGCTCATGTTTGGGCTCTGATTTGGAGGATGTGTATTAGTTTTCATGACATACCATAAGAGATTTTATCTACCATTCTCATTATTTCTTGGCTGCTCTCTAAATTCTAAGACTAGGGGCTGGGGATGTGGCTCAAGCGGTAGCGTGCTCGCCTGGCATGCTATGCCGCCCGGGTTCGATCCTCAGCACCACGTACAAAGATGTTGTGTCCACCAAAAACTAAAAAAAATAAATAAATATTAAAATTCTCTCTCTCTCTCTCTCTCTCTCTCTCTCTCCTCTCTCTCTCTCTTTAAAAAAAATAAATTCTATGACTAATTTTAAACAAAGAGATAATGAAGGTAATAGACTGGTAAAGTTAGTGGAGAAGAGAAGGATGATTAAAAAGAGCCACCACTCAGCTTACTTCTTAAGAGTTGATGTGGCAGGGATGGCTGGGGAAAGTCAGACAGAAAAGTCATCTGTTTTAGTTTTTACTGGATGTCTTCCTATGTCTCTCTGTCTCAGCACCCAATACACTTTTATTTCTTGTGGGTCAGGAAAGCTCCTAATGGCATAGCTCTTTTTGTGGTATCTAGTACTCCTTTGTTCACTTATATCTATTGGTCAATTTTATGGTCATTAGAACAGTCTGTAGGTGTATATTAGGTTGATCTGATGAGAGTAGTCCCTTCTCCGGTCTGGATAGAACTGCAAATGTCCTCTTTCAAGTGAATTCACCTGAGTAATTTGTTTACTCCAGATTTTTTACTTGTATGGTTCTGCAGAAAACCTTATGTAATAGGAACATAGTTGCTTAAAGAAACCTGGCCCACAGAGCTTCTTATTAGTCAGTCATTCATTGGAACTAAATGTAGAAGTCCCTCCTCAATGAACTTTTAGTATAATTATAAGGCCAGAAATCAGTAGGGATACTCGGCAGAAGATACTCAGGAAGAACTCTATTTCTATTTTCTTACCAATCTGTGTCTTCTTTCAGAGTCATCCAGAAATGGGCTTGGTGACAACCCCTGTCAGTCCTGCCCCAACAACCCCAGTCACACCACTTGGGACCACGCCACCCTCCTCTGATGGTGAGTCCATCACCTCCTTTATGTTATTGATTAATATGATCTTAGATCTTTCAGGGTGAGCATAGCTGTAAAACAAGGAACACAGTAGTTAATTCTTTCAGTAAGACATTAATGTAAGCTGGGCACAGTGGTATGCACTTGTATCCCTACCAGGGAGGCTAAGGCAGGAGAATACTTAAATCTAGGAGTTCAAGATCAGGTAGGGCAGCATAACAAGATAAAAATAAAAAAAGAAATTTGTATATAATATTTCCTTCAGTACTTCTGCAGTTCCAAAACGTTGGAAAAGATAGCCAAGTGCTTTTTCTTTGAGTAAGAAGCAGTGTAACTCTAGCTTGTCCTTGTCAGGGAATTGACAAGAATAATGAAATGCCAGCTCTGAAAGGGACCTCAGGGTTCAATATTGCCTGTTCTGCTAAATTCTCAGGTACTTGTAAGAGTTAGATATTTTATGCAATGTACTACTATATGAATATATACTAAAATAAATGTAAAATAGTAGTGTCATATCATCCAACCATTTGACAGATAAGGAAGGAATTGAGGCCAGAGAAATGAAGCAGTTTATTGAGAGTAAAGGTTTGTGAGAGTAGAGACTTAGAACTAAAATATGTAATCAGGGCAGGGACTGTGTCTAGTTTGCCCAAACATAGTCCTAGCATGGTTATAGCTTAGTACATAATTGTTGAATAAACTAATGAGGTAGTGAACCTGTGATTTACTCACTGTTAAGTGTCTGCTGGCCACTCAGAGATGGAAATGACCAGGATTTAAGTGTATTACATTTGGGAGTTTGGTAGGTATTTAAGACTTCTTCCCCTAAAAACAAGAAAGTAAATTTTTACTTTATAACATAAGAAAAAGATAACAGAACCTAAGAAAAAGGTATGTTTGAGGAGCTAGATATGTGTAACTTAATTTAAATATTACACAATGTATGTATGTATCAAAGTATATTGTACCCCATAAGTATGTATGATTTTTATGTTATTATGGATCCATTAAAATAAATTAGGAAAAATAAATTATGACCTTTGCCCAGAAATCTTTGTCTTACCTGAATTCATTCCATTGTAGGCTTAGTGTGTTCGATGGAATTCCTTAACCTAAAAATAATCTACATTTATATTGATGTTATATCTCAAATGTTGACCTAATTTTGTGTAAAGAAGTACAGGAAATCCATTTTTTATTCTTTTTTTCTATTTCCCTCCTGTTTGGTTGTGAAATGACCTCCTTTGTTCTGCTTTTTCTTCTTTAACTTTATTTTTGGTGGGGTGCTGGGGATCAAACCCAGGGCTTCATGCATACTAAGTAAGCAGTCTCTCACTGAGCTACATATTGAATTTGTGCCAGTAGTGTTTTAAGATGATATAAGTAGTACAGGAGTAAGGCAGGGAGGTGCCATTGATATTCAGGTCTGTGATAGCAAATGGGATCTGTTTCAACTTTATAGCCAAATTCTAAAATATCTTAATGAGAAGAAGCAAGTAGTGAGGATTGCCTACTTACCTGTTTATTCAGGTCACTGAATAAGCCAATGAAAATAATGTACTTTCTCTTTAAGGATGAAGTCTGCCTGGTTACCATGGATATCAAAAACCACACACACACACACACACACACACACACATACCTCAGTTCCATGTGATGTTGGGATTTGGATGCTTTCAGAGAACTGCCTTTCAAACTGTTCATTGTGAACACTTCCACCCACACACTTGATTATGCAATGGCAGGATTTGTGCTTGCTTACCTACAACTGGTGAGCTTTTATTTTTCTAGTGGGAAGATCAAGTCAGCCCACTTTGAGATGACTGTCACTCTTGACAAAAATATGCTGGGAAGAATTATGAAGCCACAGGTCAAAGGAATGGTTAGGAAGGAGATTTTAATTTGTGAGGAATTTTATTCTGTCTGTTCTGTTTGTTCTTGTTTTGCTCTCCTAACTCATTTCCTTTCTGCAGGGGTCCTAAGTATTATAACCTTATTTTTAAAATTTTTGGTTTTTAATTATAGTGCTGCTCAGTAGCCCAGTTATATTTAAAGGTATGTCACTGGAGCCATTATTTTTAAAAGCCAGCAGTTTAGCAGTTACATTTGTTCTCAGTTCAGACTTGACATTTGACAACTCCGCCTTGGCATGAGAGGACTTTCTGGTAAACTAAAAATACATATACTTCTATATTTCTACATATTATATAAGATAGTTTTCCGGTTATTGCTGTGTGTGAACCAGAAAAAAAAAGTCCCACTTACTAGTTAGATTCCTGTTTGTATTGGATAAAGGAATGATTATGGGCTCTGAGCTTCAAAAATAAGCTGTGGTTTGAAATGACAGTTTCAGGTCATTAACCTATAACATGAATTAAGACCTTTTAGTATTTCAACATAAAAATATATTTATCTTTTTGTAATTTTTTGGGGGGGGGGGCGAACTGTGGGAAAACAGCTAAGGGTTAGGCATACCAATTTCCTCTCATAAGGCTTTTTGCTGTGCTTGTTGTGTATTATGTATCCATAATATGCAAATGTTTCCCATTGTTAATAAACGTTTTCTATATACATTGTAATAACTCCAGTGGGATCCATTATACTTATGAATACATATTATAAATGATATCCTAAACTCAGCTGAGTGTTCATGGCTGAAGATATAGTACAAAGCTATAGATTCTCCAGCTTATGTGAGCCATCATGAGACTCCTTTTGTTTTTATATTATGTCTTAGTGTGAAAGCACTTAACAAGTTGACTAATTCTAATTTGAAGTCGTAGAATCTTGGAAGTCTACCTTAAGACTGTCCTATGTGGGTCAGTCCTGGTCTGGTCCCTCATTGTTCATCAGAACTGTGATTCAGTGTATATGTGAGGCTTTTTCAGAAATGACAGCTGAATAGCTGGGCATAGTGGCACATGCATGTAATCCCATCGACTTGGGAGGCTGAGTCAGGAGGATGGCAAGTTTGAGGCCAGTTTCAACAATTTAATGGGGTTCTAAACACATAGTGAGATCCTGTCTCAAAATAAAAAAAGGGGGTGGGAATGTGGCTCAGTAGTTAAGCATCCCTGGGTTCAATCCCTGATACCAAAAAAGGAAAACAAAACAGATACAGCAGCTGGATATATGAAACACAGTTCCCAGGCTGTACTAATCAGTTATGTCTACCTATTTTCAGTCTGCTATTTTTTTCAGGTTCCCTTTCATGGGGCAAGAATTATGGGATAGAATTTTGATGTAGTTTTGCCTGTTATTTCCCCCCTTTTGTGTTGCATACTTCCAGTCTAAGGGCTTGTTCTCAAAATTGAGCAAAATTTCTCCTTATTAGGAAGGAATCTTCATTTATTTTAAGCAAGAGACTCATCAAAGCAAAGCTCATTTATACTTAATACTTATCTTTCCTTTAGGTAGAAATTACAGTGCTTTTAAGAAGGGCTCTGAACCCTTTAGGGTTATGTGGGGCTGGAAGTAAAATCAGCTCTTCTTAGGATTTTGGGAGAAAAGTACTATTCCTGGAGACTGTATATAGGAGAGGTCATTGGGCTTAATCTGGGGAGTAGATACGGCTCTAGAGACCTAGGAAGAGTAAATACAAGTTTTATGGTAAGTACTTGGTTCTCCTTTTGTTGCAGGAAAAGTGTATTTAGTCATTTTCTTGCCTGCTGGCAAATTGGCTATGTGGGTAGAAGTGTTAGATGGAATATGTTATGGGCTAAGTGCATTTTATGTGTTCTATTCCAGTTATAAGTTCTGTGGAACTCCCACTGGATGCAGATGTACAGACCAGTAATCTGCTGATAACCTTCCTAAAGTATAGCTCAATTGTCATGCAGGACACCAAAGGTAAGGTATGCTACTTTGGGGGCACAGGAAGCAGGAGGTGTGGCAGGCAGCTAGAATCAATGAGCAGCATTAATATTTTGAGGTTTTGACAAGATGAACCATTGGGGCCTCCTGTTCAGGGTGATGGTTGTGATTTCTGGAAAACAGTGATTTCTCACAGCAAGGTGGAAATAGGTGATGTTGGGAAAACCTGAAACTGAAGGGAAGTTTTAAAAAAAATAGAACAGGAAAAAATTTGGTCTCTATAAAAACTAGCAACTGTCATAGCAAATCTTGGTAAGTAGATGCACTCTTCTGTGTGGGAAGTTGGGGGGATTAACATGCTTCAGGGAATTCCCTTTTGAGGACAAGAACTGAAAGTATCAGCTTGTGAGAATTAGAGGACTGTTGTGCAGAGTAGGAAGAGGTGAGATTCAGAGGGACTGTTTCCTTAACACTTAAAATAGAAGTGTCAACACTCACCCTAGAAATGCAGAGTGGGAGAGGATTGTTGGAAAAGTTTTGAGTTTTTTTCTGTTTGATTTCCCATTCTTTCTTTGCTTATGATTTTGCTATGGCCTTTTAATTCCCTGTAGCTTAGCAGACTACTTGAGCTTAGAGTAGGAATGAATTTGAGACTTAACAAATTCTATCCAATATATATGCCAGTTTTTTTTTTTTTTCCTATTTAGTGTTTTTTCTTTACATACATAAAATTTACCCTTGTAACCTTTTTAAATTTGAGATGGGGACTCACCATGTTGCCTAGATTGGTTTTGAACTCCTGGTCTCAGGGGATGCTCCCACAGCATCCTGTGTGCTGGGGCTATAGGTGTGTACCATTTTTAAGTGTACAGTTAGGCATTAAGAGCATTTATGTTCCTGTGCAACCATCATCACTATCCATTTCCAGAACTCTTTTAAAACTGAATCCGTGTACCTATTAAACACTAAGACTCCATTCTCCTTATCCCTGAGTCTCTGGAAATCTCCATTCTGCTTTCTGTCTATATGAATTGACTACTCTAGGTACTTCATATAAGTACAGTTTATCCCAGTTTTAACATTTCTAGGAAATAGGCCTTTTATTCTATTGTAACATTGAACTACCCACTGTCCGCCCCACCTCAGTCTGGTGCTGGGAAGGGAAACAAAGGCCTCTTGCATCTCTTGCATACTAGGCAAGAATTCGACCACTAAGCTACACCCCCAGCACTGAGCTAGCATTTTTTCTCCTTTTTTTTTTGTACTCGGAATCAAAGCCAGGGGCTCTTTACCACTGAGCTGTATCCCCAAGCCCTTTAATTTTTCACTTTGAGAAAGGGTCTCACTCAGTTGTTCAGGGCTTTACTAAATTGCAGAGGCTTGCCCCCAACTTGTGATCCTCCTGAGTATAGGTGCATGCTACCATGCCTGCCACACCTAGCTAGGATTGAACCCATGGGTGCTTAAACACTGAGCCACATCCCTAGTCCTTTTTTGTATTTTAGAGTCAGAGTCTCACTGAGTTGCTTATGGCCTCGTTAAGTTGCTAAGACTGGCTTTGAACTCACGATCCTCCTGCCTCAGCCTCCTAAGCTACTGGGATTACAGGAGTGAGTGCCACACCTAACTTTTCTTTCTTTTTTCTTTTTCTTTCTTTCTTTCTTTTTTTTTTTTTTGTAGTTGTGGATGAACAGAATGACTTTATTGTATTTATTTATTTATTTATTTTTAATTTTTTTTTTTTTAGTTGTGGATGGATACAATACTTTTGTTTATTTTTATGTGATGCTGAGGATGGAACCCAGTGCCTAACACATGCTAGGTCTCCGCTCTACCTCTGAGTCACAACCCCAGCCCCATATCTAGCATTTTAATGAACATTTTTTTAGAGGTTGATCCAGTGGCTTCTTTCACTTAGAAGGATTTGTTTGTCTAATTACAAAGTAATTGAAGTATTACTTTTTAAATATTAAAACTTTGTAGCAATAGTTAATTTAGAAAGTAAAAGTGCTTTCAACTAAGTTTTCCAAAATCAATCAGTCTTTTTTTTAGATATACATGGCAGTAGAGTGTATTTTGACATACATTCATGGAGTATAACTTCCCATTCTTGTAGTTGTACATGATGTGGAGCTACATTGGTCATGTATTCATATATGAACATAGGAAAATTATGTCCGATTTATTCTACTGTCTTTCTTATTTCTATGTCCCCCTTTTATTTCTCTTTGTCTAATTCAAAGAACATCTGTTCTTCCCTCACACCTCCTTATTGTGTGTGAGCATCCACATATAAGAGAGAACATTCAGCCTTTGTTTTTACGGGATTGGCATATTTCACTTAACATGATAGTCTCCAGTTTCATCCATTTACCAGCGAATGCCATAATTTCATTTTTCTTTATGGCTGAATAATATTCCATTGTGTATATGTACCATATTTTCTTTATTCATTCATCTGTTGAAGGCCACCTACGTTGATTCTGTAGCTTAGCTATTGTGACTTGAACTGCTATAAACATTGATATCACTGTAGTATGCTGATTTTAAGACTTTTAGGTACATACCAAGACACTCCTTTGTGTGCGTGTGTGTGTGTATACCAAATATAACTGTTATGTATGTGTCTTGTTATGAACCCAAATATAAATAGGTCAGCTGGGTGGTTCTATTTCAAGTTTTCTGAGGAATCTCCACACAATTTTCCCTAGGGGTTGCACCAATTTGCAGTCCCACCAGCAATGTATGAGAGTGTACTCTTGTCCCCATATCCTCACCAACATTTATTGTTACTTGTATTCTTTTTTTTTTCAGTGGTGCTGAGGATTGAACCCAGGGCCTGTGCATGTGAGGCAAGGAAGCACTCTACCAACTGAGCTATCTCCCCAGCCCCATTACTTGTATTCTTGATAATTGCCATTCTGACTGGAATGAGATGAAATCTCAGTGTAGTTTTTAATTTGAATTTCTCTAATTGCTAGAGATGTTGAACACTTTTTCATATATTTATTTGCTGACCATTCATATTTCTTCTGTGAAGTTCCTTTGCCCATTTATTGGTTGGGTTGTTTTTTTGGTGTTAAGTTTTTTTAGTTCCTTATATATCTGGAGATTAATGCTGTATCTGAGGTGCAGTTGGCAAAGATTTTCTTCCATTCTGTAAGCTCTCTCTTCATGTTCTCTCTCTTTCTCTCCCTCTCTCTCATACACACACACACACACACACACACACACAGATATACATATATTGTAGATGGACACAATACCTATATCCTATATTTATTTGTTTTTTTTATATGGTGCTGGGGATTGAACCCAGTGCCTCACACATGCCAGGCAAGTGCTCTACCACTGAGCCACAACCCCAGCCCCTCTTTTCATATTCTTATTGTTTCTTTTGCTGTGAAAAAGCTTTTTAGTTTGATATCATCCCATTTGTTAATTTTTTTTTTTTTTGGTACTAGGGATTGAACTCAGGGGCACTCAACCACTGAACCATATACCCAGCCCTTTTTTCTATTTTATATAGAGACAGTGTCTCACTGAGTTGCTTAGGGCCTTGCTAAATTGCTGAGACTAGCTTTGAACTTGTGATTCTCCTGCCTCAGACTTCTGAGCTGCTGCGATTAGAGGCATGAGCCTCTGCTCCCAGCTTTGATTCTTGATTTTACTTCTTGCACTTTACGAGTCTTGTTGAGGAATTTGGTTCCAAAGCAGACGTGATGGAGCATTGGGCCTACTTTTTCTTCTAGTAGGCTCAGGGTCTCTGGTCTAGTGCCTAGGTCCTTGATATTTTACTTTGAGATTTGTGTAAGGTAAGAGGGGTTTAATTTCATTTTGCTACATATGGATTTCTAGTTTTCCCAGCACCATTTGTTAAAGAGGCTATCTTTTCTCCAGTATATGTTTATTGCACCTTTGTCTACTATGGGATAACTGTATTTATGTGGGTTTATCTCTGTGTTTTATGTTCTGTACCATTGGTCTTCATATCTGTTTTGGTGCAAATGCCATGCTGTTTTTGTTACTATAGTGCTATAGTATAATTTAAGGTCTGATATTGTGTTGCCTCCTGCTTCACTTTTCTTGCTAAGGAAGGATTGCTTTGGCTATTATAGACCTCTGGTTTTTCCAAATGAGTTTTATGACTGCTTTTTCTATTTCTATGAAGAACATCATTGGAATTTTAATAGGAATTGCATTAAATCTGTATAGCGCTTTTGGTAGTATGGCCGTTTTGGCAATATTAATTCTGCCTATCCAAGAACATGGAAGATCTTTCTATCTTCTAAGGTCTTCGTAACAAAATCAATCACTCTTAACAAATTGAAATATATTTTATTTTTCCTTTGAAACCTTCCCTGTATGGATCTTTAAATCCTATTTTAGGAACTGACTGCTTAGTAAATAAAGTTAAGAGATTATTTGTTTGTTTTGTTTTGTTTTTATAGTAGTGGGGATTGAATTCAGGGCCTCATGCATGCTAGGAAAGCACTTTATCACTGAGCTACGTCCCCAGAACAAAGTTGGAGTTCTTAAATTGTGGTCTGTGGACTAACTTCAGAGTCCTAGATATCAAAAAAGCCATTTTCATGGTAGAGGCACAATTTTTAAAATTATTTTTGCTATCTTACTTTCTGTGAAAAGAGATTAATACCTTATGGATGGTTTAAGGTTCTTGCAGGCATTTAATATACTTTTTTTTTTTTTTTGTAGTTGGACACAATACCTTTATTTATTTTTATGTGGTGCTGAGGATCGAACCCAGCACCATGCACATGCTAGGCAAACTCTGTACCACTGAGCCATAAGCCCAGCCCCATTTAGTATACTTTTGAAGGCTTTTATTTGCAAAGTGAACTGAACAGGTGCTTGTATGAGGGTTTTGGGAATCTAGAATGTAGTTGAAAAGCAAGAGTGGTATAGAAGGGGAGGACCAGTTTCAGGGGCTTTTGGAGTGAGAAGGAAACACTGGTAGATAGAGGTAGGAGAGTAAAAGACAAATATGGGAAATGAAGACTTGCCAGAGCAGGTTGGTGAGTCTGAGCCATGTTATATTCAGACATATTTGCATTAGCTCTTGGAGATTTATACCTTGCAAATTTAGATTTTTTTCTCTTATGTGTTATGATTGTGCTCTTTCAAGAGTGAGATCTACTGGGCATGGTGGCTCTTGCCTGTAATCTCAGTGATTTGGGAGCCTGAGATAGGAGGATCCCCAAGTTCAAAACCTGTCTCAGGAATTTAACAAGGCCCTAAGCAATATAGTGAGAGTTCGTCTCAAAATAAAAAATAAAAATGGCTGGGCATGTGGCTCAGTGGTTAAGTACCCCTGGGGTGGGTCAATCTCTAGTACACCCCCGCCCCCTCAAATAAAGGAGAGCTACACACATGGTGAGATAGATGCAGATATTCCATATCACAAATGCCTAACATAGAATAGTCCATTGAGAACTGCCAAGGTGGCTGAATCTTGAGACTTGGCAAATGAGACCTGGCAGGCAAGGATAACAAGATTCTTGTATATGAATTTCCTGAGGCTATTGTTTCTTTATGGAAATGGGTAACATCTTTCTTTATCTTGAAATATTGTAGCAAACATAGAAGAGAGAAATTGCATGAATGTGACCCAGAAAATGAACTTTCAGCTTTGCTTGATGTAACACAGTGAATTGAGGCTGTGTTGGAACTCATTTTTAGCTGTAAATCATTATATCTTTGTCCTGGTCACTTCACTGTCTGTAGAATAGAAGCCAAAATTTAGGGCAAATTAATTGCAATATGGGTGGTCTCAGTGTTTCTAAACTCAGGCTGCATTAGGTATTTGCCAACAGGGAGACTAAATATGATAAAGGGCAAGGTTAGGTACGATGAAGAGTTAATTTGAAAAATGGTCCCTGTGAACTTCATTGGCCTAGCTCTCTTCTGGTCTTAATCCTTGACCTATTGTGTCATTCTCTGGCTAACAGGATCACATTATGTTCTTAGAGGCAACTTTTTCTCAGCTCTATACCTGTTCTCCACCTAGCATATTATGTTTTTCTTTATTATGTATCTATCCCTTGATATTTATAAGAAGATACTTTTAATAGATAAATATAAATTGTATAGTATAATCTGGGCACAGTAGGGCACAGCTGTAATCCCAGAAACTCACAAATTGAAGCCTTAGAAATTTAGCAAGACCTTGTTTCAAAATTTAAAAATAAATAAATAAATGAAATATCTGTAAGCTCAGCAATTTGGGAGGCTGAGGCAGGAGGATTGCAAGTTTGAGCCAACTTCAGTGAATTAGTGAGGTCCTAAGCAACTAAGTGAGATCCTGTCTCAAAATAAAAAATTAAAAGGGTTGGGGATGTGGCTCAGTGGTTAAGCACTCCTGAGTTCAATCCCCGTGTTATGGTTTGGATGTGAGGTGTCCCCCAAAAGCTCATGGGTGAGACAGTGCAAGAAGGCTCAGTGGAGAAATGATTGGGTTGTAAGATTCTTAACCCAATCAGTGATTTAATTCCCTGATAGGGATTAACTGAGTAGTAACTGAAGTGGTAGGGTGTGGCTGGAGGAGGTGAGAATTGAGTTGTGGCTTTGAGTATATGTTTGTATCTGGCTAGTAGATTCTCTCTCTGCTTCCTGCTCACAGTTTGAGTTGCTTTCCTCTGCCACACTCTCCTGCTATGATGTTCAGCCTCACCTTGAGCCCCAAGGAAAGTAGCCCGCCTTCTATGGACCAACACCTCTGACACCATGAGCCCTCAAATAAACTTTCCTCCTCTGCAATTGTTCTGGTCAGGTCCTTTAGTCACAGCAGGGAAAAAGCTGACTAAAACACTCCAGTACTAAATGAATAAGTAAGTAAGTAAGAAAATAAATAAATAAAATAATATCCTGGGGTATGGATAGAGCCAAGAAAAAGCTTCTAAAAACATAATAAAACTGGCAATATTGTTCAGTGATAGAATGCCCCTGTTTTCAATTCCCAGTAACAAAACAAAAGCTATAAAATCTGTAATAAATAGCATGTTGCAAAGTGTAATAATAAAACAAACATGTGAACTTACCATTCAACTTAAAAAAGTAGAACACTATTAATGCTGTTGAAGGTTCTTTCCCTCTGGAGATATTCCACTTTCTCCCTTGAATGCCTAGTCCTTGCTTTACCCCAAAGGCATCTTTCTTTTGCAGTTGCTATCCCCATTCTACCTTGAAAGTATATCTATTTTCCTAAATAAACCTCTGTCTGTGCCTTTCATGTTTATCATTATCTTGATTTGATTCTGCTTTTTAACCCTTTCTGATTTTTGTGTTGCTACCTCAAAGGAGCATCTGATGTACCTTTATTTTATTTTTTAAAAATATGGGACGCTTCACGAATTTGCATGTCATCCATGTGAGGGGGCCATGCTAATCTTCTCTGTATCGTTTCAGTTTTAGTATATGTGCTGCTGAAGTGAGCACCTGATGTACCTTTAAAATGGACATTAGTTAAAAAAAATGAACATTAGTGCTGGGGTTCTGGCTCAGTGTCAGAACACTGGCTATCATGCTCAAGGCTTTGAATTTAATCTCCAGTACACCTGTGCACACATGGACATAGGAAAAAAAAATTTTAACATAGACTTAAAGTTGCTTCACTGAAGTTTTGATAGTTTTAAACTTGGTTTTGTTGGGAGTTTTTTGTTTTCTTGAGTTTAAAACATGTCTATATTGAAATGTATCTTACATTTAAGAAAAAAAACTCATTTTTTTAGGTGTAGATGGACACAACACAATGCCTTTATTTTTATGTGGTGCTGAGGATCGAACCCAGGTCCTGGCCATGCTAGGCGAGTGCTCTACCTTTGAGCCACAATCCCAGCCCCTCATTTTTTTTAAGTTGTATATGGACACAATACCTTTATTTTAGCGAGGCAAGTGCTCTACCACTGAGCTATAATCCCAGCCTGCCTGCCTTATTTTTGTATTCAGAAACTGTTTTTTTTTTTTCTAAGTGGAAAAATGGCTACAAGTTAGAAGAGTGTCCTGAAACTAGTTTTGCATAGGCAATGGTATGGCTCTACTGCCAGCTATAGGGAATCAGATAGGGATTATTAGCACTTTTTTTGCACTGCCTGTCTCTGAGAAGAGGACTGCAACCCCCATTATACCTTCTAATTGTTAAGTTTTAATTGATAGGTTCTGTCTTTGAGGAAGAAGCCGGTTAATGTCAAGAAGAGTAATATTAGCTAACTTCTGTGGCGCTGCAATCTGTCAAGAGGTCTTTCCAGAATGGACTTTGATCTTAAAGCAAATATGAAAATCATGAGCTATTTTTTTTTTGGATGCACAGGCATGGCCCTCTTCTTACCTCCATTTCACTCTCTTACAAAGTTCTTGGAAAAAAGTTTTCATGGTTTTGGTAATTGGCAGTGATGAAGTAATTTTTTCCTCCGGTACTGGGGATTGAATCCAGGGCTTTGTACACACTAGGCAAGCACTGTGGCACTGTCTTTTTTGGTCATTTGTATGTGGGCCTAGAGCTCTGTTATGGAGGTTACTGCCTTCTATTCTTCTTCTTTTCTGTGTTAGGGATTAAATTCAGGGCCTTGCACATGGTTGGCAAGCATTCCACCACTGAGCTACCCCTCCACCCTTTGCTTTCTTTTTTAATGATTAGAATGTGAGCTCTGGGAGCTGGAGACCTTTGTTAGATCAGTATGATAGTGCCTAGTACAGTGCCTGCTACATAGTAGGTGCTAAATAAATAGTTGTTGAATGAATAACTTTGTTAGGAGTTAAAATCTTTTTTTGTTTTTGCCTTTTTGTACCAGGGATTGAACCCAGGGGCATTTGCCACTGAACCACATCCCCAGTTCTTTTTATGTTTTATTTAGAGACAAGGTCTCACCGAGTTGCTTAGGACCTCATTAAACTGCTGAGGCTGGCTTTGAACTTGTGGTCCTCCTGCCTTAGCCTCCCAAACTGCTGGATTATAGGCATATGCCACTGTGCCACTCTTAAAAATCTTTAAGAGTTCATATCTTTCCAGGTCATAAATAATGTGCACAGTGCAAGGAGAAGTATGGACTGGACCCTCCAGTTAATTTCTTTCTGATTTCATTGTTGATTTACTATGAACAGTCATGAAACCTTTCTAGATTTTGTGGTAGGTAGTATAAATGATGGTGCTTATAGGTGGTAGACAAGGGAGTGGGAAAGGGACTGGATCTGACTATTCAGAAGCAAAGGGCTAGTTTGGACACAAAGGCAATGGCCCATGACAAGGTTACAGGGCAGTCCTCTCTTACCAGTTCTTGGGTCACGTTGGAAAGATTTCAGATATGTCTCAGAGTAGCAGGCATGAAGTTATTTGAAGGGATAGGAAAAGGGAAAAGAAGACACTCTGAAGGGAGAGAGTGAGTCGTCTTAGGATGATAAGGAGCATTACAAGGGTTAGATGACTCTCAGGAAAGTGTTTAACATACTAGCAGGATATTTAAGGAGGAAAAAAAAGGAGGTTTTCTGTGGGAATTCTCTTGCCTGGGAGGGAAGGTAGATATACTCTAGTAGTATCTTGATTTTCATTCATGAATTTTGTGGGGAAAGAGAGTTGTGAATGTTACTTTTAATGATATATACCTTTATTTTCTGTTAAAATGTGATCTGTGTGATGGACAGAGAATGGTGTATTTTTGTTCACAGATGAACACAGGCTTCACAGTGGCAAGCTCTGTCTGATCATCCTTACGTGTATTGCAGAGGTATGTCTCAACAGCCTTCCTTCTGGTATTGGTTTGTCTCTTACAAAGTGCTGTTTTTCCTTGCCCTGTCCCTTGCTTCCTTTTTCACGACTTTTAGTGTCCTAATGCTTGGGAGAGAAAATCTTCCCTCTCTGTATTGTCTGTTCCTTCCCACTAGAAAGTAAACTCCAACAACAGGGTCTTTGTTGTCTTTTCAATTTTTTTTTTTTTGGTATCGGGGATTGAACCCAGGGGTACTTTAACCACTGAGCCACATCCCGAGCCCTTTTTTATACTTTATTTAGAGACAGGATTTTGCTCAGTTGCTTAGGACCTCACCAAGTTGCTGAAGCTAACTTTGAACTCAGCCTCCCGAGTTGCTGGGATTACAGGTGTACGTTACCATGCCCAGCATCTTTTTACACTTTATTCTCTGTATCAGGCATATGGTAGAGGTTCAACCAGCATTTACTAGATGCATTAATAATGAATTGTGATATGGTAACTGCTATAGTTGAGAACTAGAAGATTCTGGATTTTTTTTTTTTTTTTTAAGGAATTTTAAACAAGGGAGTTATAACTCTTTAGAAAGAATAATCTTGTCTCTTTGAAGCTACTCTTTTTGGGTCTTTTGCATTTAGCAATATAAAAGAGGAGTTTGGATTTCCTGGGGACAAAGGAGTAGAGAAAATATACAGGGTGGGGAGTGATTGCAGTTTGGTGAAGAACAAGACTGAGGGGAAAAAAAGGAAGAGGTGCTTATGGTTTGTGAAGAGGCACTTTGGATTGGATTAATTAGGCTCTAACTCATCATGGATCTTAGTGACATATAGCTGTGGCAGAACCTGAGTCAGTTTAGAGCTAAATTTATAGCTTCAACCTCTCCCCTTCATTATTCCTTACTCTTTTCTCTCTTAAGAAAAATAGTCAAGGTGGTCCACATGGAATAGCAATCTCTCATAGTTTCCTTATTTATGTTCTCTGTGGGAAGATGACCTCCTTTCACAAGGCTACGGAAATCTGGTTATAGAAGTGCTGCTTATTAGCAGTGGGCCTGGTGTAATTGCTTTTCAAAAATCTTTCGAAGAAAATCTTTAAAGAAGTTGTTTTTAACAAGTTGCAACAGTTCCCAGTAATTGGAGTCTGTAAGCATGTCAGATCTTCAGAAGAGGTGTTGGGAAAAGGCCAAGGATGTTTATTGCCAATCCTTGGTGAGAAGTTTTTGATTTTCAATCAGTCTTCAGCAAAGCCAGAGGTAGAAAGGTCTTACCTGCTTCCACACTGCCTGTGTAGCACTTTTCTCCTGCTATGCTGAGCTCATTCCTAGTAGAGCACAGACCTTTCTGCTTATTCCTAGAGTCTCATGAGGAGCCTGTGCATGCATCCTGCAGCCCCTAAGAAAACCTTCAAGCTGTCACAAACAGCTGACTCCTTGGGCATATGGGAAGGAAAAGGGAATAGGAAAACAGTTTCTTCTTAGTATTTTCCTTAAGTATTTGGGTCTTAATTTTTATTGTTTTAATTTTTTAAGAGATTTTTTTTACCAGTTAAAAATATACTGGGAAAAAAAAGATATAAAATCTCATGACTCAAATAGGGTTTGATGTAAAGGCTCTAGTGGACTGATCCCATTAGCTTTCCAACTGATTTGTGAAAATAGATTTTGTTTTTTTTTCTTTTTGTATTGGGGATTGAACCCAGGAACGCTTTACCACTGAGTAACACCCATGTTCTCCCCTCCCTCTGCCATTTTTTTTGAGACAGTGTTTTGTTAAATTGTCCAGATTGTCCTTGAACTTGCACTTCTCTTTCTGCCTCACCATGTCTGGCCAAAGTTGTTCTTTAAATCTAGGGATTTGTAGAAGGTGTGATAGATTATACTGAATTTCTTAAATATAGCTCTTACTCCTTACTTTTTCTTGATTTTTATCAGGATCAGTATGCCAATGCATTTTTGCATGATGACAATATGAATTTTCGAGTGAATTTACATAGAATGGTAGGTGTTACTTTTGCTTCTTATTTTCTCAGAGAATATATTTTGTTGGCATGAAATTAATTCTACTAGAACAAAAAAGGATGGGAAATTGTACCAAAAGATTCTTGCATGACTGCTGTTCAGTAGACTCATTATCTTTGGGACTTTTGTGCATCAGAGAACTGTTTCTTGCTCAAGAGAGGATAGAAAGAGCCATAACCATAAGAGACACTGCATTGTTATCAGAATGTGTCAGTAACGTTCCAGTTTCAACCAAGTGATGGGTCTCAGCCTATGTTTTCAAAATGTAATGTGATCTTAGATTGGCCAAGACTAGGTGCTCAATGATTTTATTCATCTGAAAGATAGGACAAATAGAATATGGAAGATCAGGAACTATCCTCAAGCTGTAGGTATGTTTAAAAAATATTGCTTTGAGGTTTAGATTTGAAACTTTTGTTTTTCCTTTTGGTACCATTGTTGCATCTATAACCACCACCATCACCTCCTCTTCTTTGCTTAATTATTATTATTATTTAAATTATTTTTTAGTTGTAGATGGACACAATACCTTTATTTATTTGTTATTTTTATGTGGTGCTGAGGATCAAACCCAGTGAGATACATACATGTGAGACGAGCACTGTAGCTACAGCCCCAGCCCTGATTTTTTTTTTAATCAAAGAAAATTACAAGTGTACCTCTTTTGATGTTAATAATACTGTTCATGTGGTATCAATAGAATAAAAGTAAAAACAGCAACTTTTCTATTTAGTGTGCATCAGTGCCCTTTACGACTGTTGCCTTGCTGTGAATTGTATTTTTGTCACCCACTTTTGCTGGTAACTGAGAAGCATTTACAAGTCTTCCCTGTTCCCACCTCCACCATAGAAAAAGAGGAAGAAAAGGTAGCATCTCTGCAGAAATGATTTTATTTGCATTAGAAACATATGTGATAAGACATTGGATATCAGTTCATTTGTCTGCTAATTTCCTTTTTTCTTTTTGTGTGTGTGAAGCCTATGAGACACAGGAAGAAGGCAGCAGACAAGAACCTTCCCTGCCGTCCTTTAGTATGCGCGGTACTAGGTGAGTGAGTATCATCAAAATTGGCATTTTTTTTAAGGCAATGATAGATTTTCATGAATAAGATCCTGGTTGATATGTTTCTTCTTCAGAGAAGTTATTAGTTATGTTTCTTCACTGGCCTAAGAAATCATGTTTATTGTGTGATTGATAGCAATCCTAGTGAATAGAGTATTCAATAAAGGGTGCTGTTGTTCAAAGAAAGCCTTTTCCAGGGAAACAAATGACTATGTCTAAACTTTATACTTGATTTAAGTTTATAAATTATCTTACTCTTGATCAAGATTTCGAAATTCTTCCCTTTTTTTCATGGTCCACATTGATGTGTCAGGTGGTCAGGAGTCTTGAAGTTCAAAGTTCAGGCAAATACAAAACTTCCCCTAAGTAAATGAGGCTGAGAAGGGGTTGACAGAGCTGACAGGTAATTTTATCTGCCTAGAATCCTGTATTTTCCTTAAGGGAATTAGCAGAACTCTCTCTCTCTTTGTGTGTGTGTGTGTGTGTGTGTGTGAGAGAGAGAGAGAGAGAGAGAGAGAGAGATACTGGAGATTGTACCCAGGAGTGCTGTACTACTTAGCATCCCTCAGCCCTTTTCATTTTTTATTTTGAGGCAGGGTCTCCCTGAATTGCCCAGTGTTTTGATTCTGTTGCCTCAGCCTCCTGAGTAACTGGAATTACTGGCATATGCCACCATACTTAGCAATAGAACTTTTTTTTTTTTTTTGTACCGGGGATTGAACTCAGGGGTGCTCAACCACTGAGACATATACCCAGCCCCCTTTTTATATTTTATTTAGAGAGAGGGTCCCGCTAAGTTGCTTAGGACCTGTATAAGTTGCTGAGGCTGGCTTTGAACTTGAGATCCTCTTACCTCAGCCTCGTAGCAGTAGAACTCTTTCAAAATCTTGATTTTAGAAACTGTTGTTAAGACTATGTAATAAGCATTATATAATAAACTTTTGTTGAACCAGAGCTTCACAGATTATTTCAGTTGATATCTATCAAACAATGTGATAATGAGATGGGATAGACATAGTTTTAGAACTAAGACTGGTTACACAGTGTGATCTATAATTTCTTCTTCTGCTTGCCTTATTACTCTAGTCTCTAGTATGACTTCCCTCTTGCATTGTATTAGTGCCATTGGTTTCCTCATTCTGGAGTAATGATATAAATTTCATCTGTACAATGAAATTTTCTGTGTATTTGAATTTATTCAGGGAGTAGGAAAGTGAACTTTTTTTTTTTTTTTTTGTGGTGCCAGGGGTTGAACCCAGGGTCTTGTGCATGGGAGGCAAGCACTCTCAACTGAGCTGTATCCCCAGACAAGAAAGTAAACTATTTTTGTTGTTGTTGTTGTTAATTTACAAGTGGCAGATGGTGAACAGTGTTGCAAAAAGTGTCTTATACAAAATAAATTTAGGCATATGTGATTGCAGATGTGGGTAGAGGATGCCATTCAGCATGAATTCAAGGTGTATGGTACTTAGAAACTTTTTTTGCCCCAAGTCAGAGGCAAAGAATGCATTTATTCTAATTGATCTAGTTTTTCTCCTTTCCCTTTTTAGACTTGATGGTAGAGTTTATTGTAACACACATGATGAAGGAGTTTCCTATGGATCTCTATGTGTAAGTACCATGATTTATTTAATAAGTGCACATCTATTTTAAAGAATCAAGTGTTGGGAAATTTATGGTTATGTATATTTTACTTAAGAAAAACAAATTTAGGGCTGGGGCTGGGGCTCAGTGGTAGAGCACTTGCCTAACACGTGTGAGGCACTGGGTTCAATCCTCAGCACCACATAAAAATAAATAAATAAAGTTAAAAAAAAGAATTCTGTTTAAAAAAAAGGAAGAAAAACAAATTTATATGTGAATTGTTAGGGAACATTTTATATATCTTTTCAGAGGGCAAAAAAGTACAAACCACAGTTAGGATTCTGCACATATCTTCATAATCACTTTTAGGGACGTTGTATAGGGACCTGGCCTGATGCCTTAAAGAAGTGAACATAGGGTGCTGTTATAATCTAAAGATATGTAATACCAGCTGATGATTTAGTTGTCTCAGGGCTTTAACATTAAAGTAGTCAGTGGTAAATAGAACTAAGATAGGAATAAGTCAAGGGAGGGTTTCTGGTTCATTCTTAGCCTACATTGTCCTGCCTCTCTAGCTAGAATCTTACTACCTAGGCTTGTCTGGGAGAGTCCTGATCTGATTGTCTATCACATTTCTTTACAATGAGGACAGCTGGATGGAGGCAATTGAAAATCATCATAGTTTAATAAAGTTAAAGTCTTCAAGTTTTTTCTGTCCTTTGCTACTTCTACATTCTTCTTTATGATATGTCACATTGTATCTCCAAATATGTGTATTTTTTTTCTTCTTTCTAAACCATCTTAGTTGAGTCTGACAATGGGGTTGGAACCTCTGGTTTGGGGAGGAAAGAGAGCAATTTGGTGCATAGTAAGTTTTTTATATCTTTTTTTATTTGGTACTAGGGATTGAACCCAGGGACACTCTACCACTGAGCTGTATTCCTTTTACCCACATTATTTTTTTATTTAGGAACAGTATTATTTAGTTGCTGAGGCTGGCCTGGAACTTTCTATCTTCCTGTTTCAGCCTGTCAAGTCACTGGGATTACAGGCAAACACCACCACACATGGCTCTCAAGTTCTGTGTACTTATTCCTGTGCCAGGTCTAGGATGTAGAGAGAGAGAGAGAAATCTCTTGATAGAGCAGATCTCCATTTTTTTAGATTGCATGTAGATTGTATAGTCTTGTTTTACTAGTTTTAGAGTAATGATATAAGTTTTACTTTTAGATAAGTATTTTGCATTTTGCATTTTTTTCCACGTGTTTTGGGTGTTTAAAAGTAAGTCTGGGGCTGGGGTTGTAGCTCAGTGGTAGAGTGCTTGCTTACCACATGTGAGGCACTGGGTTTGATTCTTAATACCACATAAAAATAAATAAAGAATTGTGTCCATCTACGACTTAAAAAGAAGAAGAAGAAGTAGTAGTAGTAGTAGTAAGTCTGGTCCTTAATTTCAATTCAAAGACCAAGGAAGCTTTTATTTATTTATTTTATAACATTTACCGGAAGAACTTACTGTTTATTTAGATAAACCTTAGTTTCTTAAGGAGTAGCTTTATTTTTGCTGTAAACTTTATTCCTCTTTTGATTATCTTTTTTTTCCTTCCTTTTTATTTTGGGGATTGAAAATAGGGGCACTTTACCACTGAGCTACATCCCCAGCCCATTTGATTTTTTTATTTTGAGATAGGGTCTCACTAAGTTGCTGAGGCTGACCTTGAACTTTTGATCATTTTGCCTTAGCCTCCCAAGTTGCTATGATTATGTTTGTGTAGCTATGCCTGGAGATTAGCTTATGTTCTAGTTTTAGGATATGCTATTTACTTTGTAGGTTAGATCACTATAGCTCCAGTTTTCTCATTGTACAAGTAGGAAACTGTGGCTCAGGAGATTAGGTGTTTTTCCCAGGGGTCTTCTGTTAGTAAGCACCATTGCCTGAACTTGAACCAAATTTTCTTGGGCTGTTACCATTCCTTCCAAGAGTATTAGTTAGCTATTGCTGTGTAACAGACTATCCTAAAAACCTAGTGGTTTAAAACAAATGTTCACTGTCTTACTGTTTCAGTGGTTTAGCAATCTAGAAGTTTAGATAGAGAGGCTTGGCACAGAGTCTTTTAAAGTGTTTGAATCAAAGTGCTAGCTGGGGCTATAGTCATCTGAGGTTTTTCTGGTCTGGAGAAACTGCTTTCAAGCTCACTTAATGGTTATTGGCAGGCCTCAGTTCTTCACCACCTGGAACCTCTCTATTGGGTTTTTCAATATGGTAGCTGGCTTTCTTCAAAGCAAGTAATCCAAGAGAGAAAGAAAAGGAGTGTGAGAGCCCAAGATGGAAAGCCAAAGTATCTTTTCTAATTTACTCCTACATGACATATCATTTCTTTGAGTCATATGGACCAACTCTGATACATTTGGGAAGGGACTCTACGAGTGTGCTATGGTTTGAATGTGTCTCCCTAAGGTCATATGTTGGAAACTTAATCCCCAGTGCAACAGTGTAGGGAGGTGGGTCCTAATGAGAAGTGTTTAGGTCATGAGGCTCCCCCCTATATGAATGGATTAATGCTGATTATAAAAGGGCTTGAAAGTGAATTCATTCACTTTTTCCCTCTGTCCCCTTCTCTTTGTCTCTTTCTGTTCCTCCTCCTCTCTTGTTCTTTCATGTATATTTCTGTATGTGCATTCATCTCTGTGTGTGTATGCTCTTGCCTTTTCATCTTTCACAATAGAATGATGAAGGTCCTTTGCATATGTTGGCATCTTGATATCAGACTTCACAACTTCTATAACTGTGAGAAATAAATTTATTTCTTTATAAATTATCCTGTGATATTCTATGTGGCAACACAAAACATACTGAGACAATGGATGCAAATATCAGAAGGTCAGGATTGTTGGGGGACATCTTTCAGGCTGGTACCATAGTTGCACAGCTAGTAAATTGTATAACCAAGATTCATACTCATTTCTCTCTAACCTTGGAGGCTGACTCTTAAGCACTTTTGGGATAAACAACAAAGGAAAGATTTGTATAGAGTGGGTGTGCTGATGGGCCATCAGAGAAGATATCAGAGACGATTGCATTTGACCTGAGTCATGAAGAAACACTAGAGTTTTTTGTGTGCAGTGAGGGAAGGACATACCAAATAGGAACAGCATGAGCATGTTCAGGGGCTTAGAAGCTTAACAGTGTGTATGTTTGGAGAATAGAAAGTGATTCTGGCTGATAAGAGTGTAGTGTGCATGGAGGAAGGGTAACAGTAGAAAGAAATTTGCCTGAGATAGGGAACAGTTGAAGGTAAGGATGACATGACAGGATTGTATGTTGAGTACTGTAGAGATATAGGTAACTGTCTACCCAACCCTCACATTTCTAGCCAGTGAACCTGTACTAAATGTCCTGTACTCCAGCCTCTGCCCCTTAGTTCCTGACTTCACCTTCAAAAGTTTTTGTATTACCTTGCTTTCTTAGGTGGTTTTTCCACCTGTTTTCTAATGGGATATCCTGAGGTTAGGGAAGATGGAGAAGATAATGAGGCATCAAATTGACAGAGGCTAGGCAAAAGGTCCCACCTTCAGGTTGAATTTATTTTCTTCATTATACCATGGGCTTGTTTCCAGATATTCCTTCCCCTACTTCCAACTTCCTTTCCAGTTTTTGGAATTTGGAGTATCAAGTCCTTTTTAGGTGAACTTCTCTGCTCCTAGCTAGGCATCAGGCCAGGTTGCTGATTTCACTTCTCATTATGCACAGCTTCTCAGCAGCATACAGTAGAATGATAAATTTAAAGCAAAAATAAATGTCTACCATTTCAAATAAGTTTATAATCCTCCTGGTGAAATATGAAGAAATATGGAGTATGGAAAGACTTAATACTTAGAGCCAGAATCTGGGTCAGAAGTGAATCAATTTTATATCAGTATATGAATGCTGTAGGTAAAGTAATGATGAGGGAAGGTGCTTATACAAAAGAAAGAAAGAAGGAAATAAAGTCTTGCCTGGAGCAGTAAGAGGTAAAAAAACCTAGCCAATTAATTTCCAATCCTGACTGTACTCCTTGATTGTTATTGCTACCTCAGGATTTGGGAGTGAGAAATAGCCTTTAGGGAGAATAAACTCTTCTTTTTTTAGAGAGAGGGCAATACATATTATACAATATACAATACATATTATGCATATTATACAATATGTATAATTATGTATAATATATGTATATTATACAATACAATACATATTACACAATACATGTTATACATATTATACAATACATATTTTGACATAGGGTCTGGCTAAGTTGTTGAGGCTGGTCTTGAATTTGCTATCCTCCTGCCTCAGCCTACCCAGTTGCTGAGGTTATAAGCATGCACCTCTGCACTTGTCTAGCCTCTTTTTTTTTTTTTAAGAGAGAGAGAGAATATGAATTTATTAATATTTATTTTTCAGTTTTTGGCGGACACAACATCTTTGTTTCTATGTGGTGCTGAGGATCGAAACTGGGCCGCACACATGCCAGGCTAGCGTGCTACCGCTTGAGCCACATCCCCAGCCCAAGCATTCTTAAAGTTACTCTTATGTGGACAACTTAGACTCTTTTTAAGTCAGATATTCCCAAAAGAGAGGAATATTTTTCAGTAGGTCCTAGAAGAAGATTTCAGGAGAAAGTGGGACTACCTGCTATGTATTTTTAAGGACATAACAATTATTAAAATTTTCATTCCAAGCTGGGGTTGCAGTTCAGTGGTAGAGACCTTGCCTAGCATAGGTGAGGCACTGGGTTCAATCTTTGGAACCACATAAAAAACAAATAAATAAAGAATAAATGTTAAGTTCATTAAAATATTTTTTTTATTCTGCTTGGCAAATAGTTTAAGTTACTGAGACCAAAAGGCTAATGATGGCATCATTTGGGAAACTGGTGACAGGAACAGAGTTTAGGAATAGTGTTGGATTGGCTGTGACTGAAAGTGGTGGATATAGGTTAGCACCTCATTGCTGCTCTGGAGTGGCTTAGTGATGTCAGATGGCATTATCAACAGGAGCCAAGGTATAGGATGTCTAGATTCTTGCTATGTGAGAAGACCTGGCACTCAGGGCTGTACTGTGCATGGGTCATCATGTGTGGGCAGCATTTAGCCACCCTTAGTGGCTGCAACAAAGTTATAGCACTGGGGACCCAATAATGGTCAGTTTCATGGGGAAATTGATAGAAAAGTTTGTAGAATACTGAGCAAATCATAGCTCAAATAACGGCATCATTTAGCCAATGATGACTGCATCAAACAGGAGATGGCAGCCCAATTTCTAAAAATCAACAAACGATTTGGTAACCAATTTCCCTTGGATCGTGAATTATTATGAATTGTTATAAATGTCATGTCCCATATTGTTTGCCTCTTTTTTCCCCCTGTACTGGGGATTGAACCTAGTACCTCATGAATAGACAAGGGCTGTATCACTGAGCTAAATTCCCAGCCTTTTTTATTAATTAATTTAAAAAAATCATTTTGAGATAGGTTCTTGCTAAATTTTGCAAGGGCGGATCTCAAACTTGTGATCCTCCTGCCATACTTTCCCAGTAGCTAGGATTCTAGGCATTCACCACCATACCTGACTTATTGTTTGCCACTGATTGATTGATTGTACTGGGGATTGAGCCTAGGGTCCTTTACCACTAAACTTCATTCTCAATCTCTTTTTACTTTTTACTATGAGACAGGATCTCGCTAAATTGCCCAGGCTGGCCTTGAACTTATAAGCCTCCTGTCTCAGATTCCTGCATTGCTTTACAAAATGTGCCACCTCACCCAGCTGTTTACCTTTTACTTTTTTTTGTTGTTGTCGTTCTTTTTAGTTATACATGACAGTAGAGTCAGTTCTGACATATTTATACAAACTTGCCTTTTACTTTTTTTTAATATTTATATTTTTAGTTGTAGTTGGACACAATATCTTTATTTTATTCATTCATTTATGTGGTGCTGAGGATCGAACCCAGGGTCTCACACGTGCAAGGCGAGTGCTCTACCACTGAGCCACAACTCCAGCCCACCTTTTACTTTTAATTGTTAAAGTTTTTTTTTTTTTTTTTTTTAATCAGAGAAAAGGTTGTATTTTTAGGAAGTAAGGGCTATCAGTATTTTCCTTTCTAATTTTATCTGTAGCTTTTAAGCTTTTTTTTTTTAAATTAGTTACTTCTATTTTAAAATATATTGGTACATTATAATCTTTGAATATAAAGCTTCAGAATTATCAAAGATGAAAAAGATATTTTTACCAGGTATCTAATTCTTAAAAATTTCATTTGTCTTATTCTTAACTTATTAATTGCTTACAATTTTGAAATACTCTCAAAAGAATATATTATTTGGTTGTGAATAACTTTGAATATTCAAAAGAACTTTTGTGATGATAGAAAGTTCTTAGCATGGCACTGTAGTCCCAGATACTTGGCAGGCTGAGGTAGGAGAATTACTTGAGCCCAGGAGTTGAAGTTCAGCCTGGGCAGCATAGGAAGATTCTACCTCAAAGAAAAATAGAAAAGTTCTATATATATCTGTGCTGTCCAGTGTTGTAGCCATTAGCCACAGGTGGCTGTTGAAAACTTGTTTTGTGGTTAATACAACTGAAGAAATGAATATTCAACTTTACTTTTAATGTAAGTAAAATTTAAGTTAATTATAACTGTAATTTAAATTTTATTTAAAATATTTAAAATAAAATATTTAATTAGATCTATAGACTCTAATTTTTTGTTTTTGCATTCTGTGTCTCTGTGTCTGCCACTTCCAATAGAGTAATGATGATATATTCTTCTTCCCTTTTCTTTCTGGAATGATGCTCAATTGAAAAGTATTGGTGGTGCCTGAGGAGTCACTTGGGACTGTTGACATCTAAGTGGTTGAAGCCCCCTTTTCCCATTGATAAGGGAAATGGGTTGCACAAGCATTTCGTGTGTGTGTGTGTGTGTGTGTGTGTGTGTGAGAGAGAGAGAGAGAGAGAGAGAGAGAGAGAGAGAGAACGCAAGCATGAATGAGAGAGATTAAGATTGAGATTTATTTACCAGAAGAGTTGAACGTGTATGTTCTTTTCTTTTGCATGTGTACTTATTCATATCCAGTGTCTTTAGTGGCCCTAGCAAAGTTGCTCCACTAGAGAGATGGTGTCTGTTGGGCTGGGGTTGTGGCTCAGAGGTAGAGCGCTCCCCTAGCATGCAGGAGGCACTGGGTTCGATCCTCAGCACCACATAAAATAAAGATATTGTGTCCACCTACAATTAAAAAAATAAATATTTTTTTTAAAAAGAGAAAGAAATAGTGTCTGTGGTGAATTGCACTGTATTCTCAGGTTTATCTCAGTTTTTTTCTTTCTTGATTCCAGACGCTGCATTCAGGTAGTACATAAACTGCTTTGTTACCAGAAGAAGTGTCGAGTTCGCCTTCATTACACCTGGCGTGAACTCTGGTCAGGTAACCTTCCCTTGATTTCATCCTCTTTTCCTATGCATTTTATGAGTACTTGGACTGGGCTTAAGGCACATTTTTTTTTTATTAATAACATTGTAGTTTATTTAGGATGCTTCTATTTTCATTTATCCTTTTTGTCATTTTTATTTTTCAAATACAGATCTAAGCATGTCACATATTTATTCCACACTTTCTCTCCTCTTCCTTCTCCTTCTTCTTTTTTTTTTTGGGTCAGCTGGTAAAAACCATTGAATATTTCCTGAATTCCAATGATTCTTCCTTTGTGTAAGAAAGGAGGAGTCAGTGTAAACTTGGATTCTTACTCTGTTCCATTTGGTAGCAGCATATGGACTATAGGGAATCTTCTGTGTGTTTCCTCAAGATGAGTAATCTCAAGAGAAATGTCATAGGAAGAGGGGGTGGGGATGGGGGTGGAGAGATAGGGGGAATCCTGTTCTTTTTGTTACATCTGGCATTATTACTGTTTACAGACAGTGTCGATTTTACCACTCCCCCTGTGCCAGAGACAAAACAGCAAATTACAGTGTTTACTTTTGTATTTATATCCATTTGGTAGCCCAGTAAAGTCACTGCCATCTCTGCAGGCGGGAAGTGGCTCTTCTCTAAGGGTGCAATTAATGCTGGCTTGCCACCCTTTCTTTTGTGTGATTAAATTGGAGGTTTCAGAAAAGCAGAGAAGACATGTTCTCTGAAGTAGTCACTTGCTGATAGTCCTGTGGCTTTTGTGACCTAATGGTACAATAGACGTCTTTAGATGATAGTAGTGATGAATGGTTGCCCCACCCATGGGGGAGTTTCTCTGTATTCTAAGCAGAAGAGGGCATGTTAATGTCAGAGGCTTTATAAGAAACAGGCCAGCAACCCAGCCCCCTTCCATGGAATTCATCTCATTTGTTGTGACACATGCTTTCCTCCCAATCCAATTTGGCTATCTAAATTTAGTCTTCCATAATGGGAAATAGAGATTTTTAATTAATGGATTAGCAAAGTTTTGCAGTTATTGCCTATGGTGGTGAAGAGGGGGAGAGGAGCAGGAGAATCATACTAATTGGCAGTCGTGTCCTTTTGGTGTTTTAGGAGGGAGAAGTAAGATTGTGTGAGAGTTTGAGATTGAGATGTCAGAAGTACTGAAGAGCTATCAAGAGAGATTGAAAAGACTTAAGTTAGTAGAGTTTCTTAGCAGTATTTCTTCTTCTTCTTCTTCTTTTTTTCTTTTTTTGGTATCCGGAATGAACTCAGGGGACTCGATCTCTAAAACCACATCCCAGCCCTAATGTTTTTTAAATATTTATTTTTTAGTTGTAGTTGGAAACAATACCTTTATTTATTTATTTATTTTTGGTGGTGCTGAGGATTGAACCCAGTGCCTCGCACATGCTGAGCCACAACACCCGCCCCTCCCTAAGCCCTATTTTATATTTTATTTAGAAACAGGTTTCACTGAGTTGCTTAATGCCTCACTGTTGCTGAGGCTGGCTTTGAACTCTCAATCCTCCTGCTTCCGCCTGCTGAGCTGCTAGGATTATAGGTGTGTCCCACTGCACCTGGCCAATATTTCTTTTTGATATAAAGGGCTCCTATTGTTGCCTGTAGATAATAATATGATTGGCTCTAAAAGTCTAGAATGAAAGAGAAAGCACACAAATGATCCAAATCTGTGTATTTGGTATAGTCATAGGACTTAAAGCAAATGTAAATAGTTTATATCTGTAACTGAGATGAAGTTATACATTGTAGTATGCAACAGTTGGTGGAAGTAATTATTTCTGCTTGCTGCTTCTGAGTCCCTCTGGTTTTATTTTCTCTTTTTTCCTATTTTCTTTCCTTTCTGTTCTGACTATCCTAACTCTGATCCCTGTGATCTCTCTGACATTTCTCCCATCCTCATTGTCCTCTTTCTCATTGTCCTATTCCATACTATTCCATATTGCCCTCTATATTGCCCTGTTCTGTCCCCCTGAAGTTCCCAAGGCTTCCTGTTATTCTCCAACTTCCATCTTATATTCCCTGTCCCCTTGATAAATTGAAGTTTTTATCATTGTGAACCATATTTCCTTTCCTTTACGCTATGGTCTTCATACATTTTACTTTGTATAAGTGTCATAAACTCCAGAGTGCATTACTATCATTTTTGCTGAAACTAATTATTATCTGTTATTATTTATTTATTTGGTACTGGGGATTGAACGTAGGGCCTTGGACATGCTAGGTAAGCACTCTATCACTGAGCTACAATCCCAGCCCTCTTTATTTTGAGATAGGGTCTTGCTAGGTTGTCAAGGGTGGCCTCAAACTTGTGATCCTCTTGCCTCAGTTTCCTGAGTAACTGATATTAAAGGCATATGACAGCTAGATGAATATCCCTTTCTTTTTCTTTTTTTTGATAACAGGGGTTAAACCCAATGAGCCATATCTCTAGTCCATTTTTTATTTTTTAATTTTGAGACAGGGTCTTGCTAAGATGCTTAGGGCCTCACTAGGTTGCTGAAACTGGCTTTGAATTTGTGATCCTCCTGCCTCAGCCTCTTAATCTTCTGGGATTACAGGTGTATGCCACTGTGCCTGGCCAGATGATTATTTTTAAAAGAGATTTAAAAATATCTTTTATGGGGCTGGAGTTGTGGCTCAGTGGTAGAGCACTTGCCTAGCATGTGTGAGGCACTGGGTTCGATTCTCAGCACCGCATATAAATAAATAAAATAAAGGTCCATTGACAACTAAAAAAATATTTTAAAAATATCTTTTATATTTATTTATTTATTTTTCAGTTGTAGGTGAGCACAATACCTTTATTTTTATGTGGTGCTGAGAATGGAACCCAGTTCCATCCTCATGCATGCTAGGCAAATGCTCTACCACTGAGCCACAACCTCAGCCCCTATATTTATCTTTTCTGACTCTTAGCATTTTGCCATTTTGGCTAGTAACTTGTGAAGATGACCATCCTTTATCCTGTGCTGGTTGGTTGACTTGTCTTGGACAACTTCCCTCATGTTCAGGGCTGTTTGTAATCATGTGCTATCTCAGAACTAATTAGTTTGCATTCTAAGGCCTTTGAAGGGTTGATGGGATGTGTATATGAATGTCATTAGTGAGGCCTCGGTGACTGCTTGTTCCTAAGGCATAGATACTTGAATTAGAGTTCTCTGCCCAAAGAGGTTAGCTCCTTTTCCTATATAAACAGAGTGAGCCATCCTGGAATCTTGATTCTCTGTATTCATAGAGGAATGTACAGTGAGATAAAGAGCAGCAGGTGTTAATGAAAGCTGCAAAGTACAACATTATATCCACTTCAATCAGAGCCCAAAGTAATGTATAATGTTGCATTCAGTGAATACAAGTGTGGCTATGGTGGATCCACCCACTGCTTGGCTGGAACTACCCCTCTTATGCTGGAATACCCATGTTTTACTCTTTCTTTGCCTTCTAGGCTTTTGGGTTTGAGGGAGGTATGTGAAATTCATCATGGAAAATATGCTCATGTGGGTATATGCTTGCCCATACATGTGCTGCAAACTATAACTGAATTTTATTTATAAATAAAACAGTAGCCATGTGTTAGATTGGAAACATAGGAGCCCTTTGATGTCTAGGATACAATCAGCCAGTATCCAGATGCCTTTTTTTTATTTGGAATTGGACATTTAGTGTCAGTATACTTCAAGTGCTGGTGTATATTCCATTGTTATTTGATTACAGTTGTTCTTCATTATTAGAAAAGATAGCCAGAGTTTCCCCAGGTTCCCATAATGAATTCCCAGGAGTGGTCTGTGGATGAGGAGGAAGTAGCTGTATTAATTGGAGATTCAATCTTGCTTGATGTGTTTTTCCTACTATTTTACAAATACAAAGCCCTGACCTACTCCTTACTGCCTCCTGTCTATTTATATGATGCTTGTCACCATAGTATCCGAGTATGTAGGGAAATACCCATAACAGAACCCAGTAGTATGGTTGTTGTCATGTTTCTGATGAGCTTGATTTCATCACTTTTGATAGGACGAATCATCAAACTTAGTTTTATTTGAGTTGTTGTGAAAGGGAGGGGTACATAATCCGTTTTTTCTTTGTCACTTTATAAATTTATCCACAGATTCATGGGATTGCTTTCAACCAAGTAAAAATGGAAACTTTGATGAGTTCTAAGCCATTAGCCAAAGAATGAGCAGAATATTTAGAGAAGCCTGTAACTGTTGGAAAGGGAACTACTTGAACAGAGCCTCATGGGTTTATATTATTTTACTTCCACTAGAGGCAGAAGGGATATTGGAGAGGCAGCCTGCATTTAAATAGTATGACTTTCAAGGCTTGAAAACATGGATTGATTTGTGTGTGTTCATGTATCTATGTGGGAGGGGCGGTTAGTGGGGAGTGAACCCAGGGGTACTCTGCCACTAAACTACATCTCTAGTGCTTTTTTAAAAACTTCTATTTCAAGATAGAGTTTCACTAAGTTGCTGATGCTGACCTTGAATTTGAGATCCTCCTCTAAACCTTGAGTGCTGGGATTATAGGCATGCACCATCATGCCCAGCACATGGTTTGATTTAAAAGTGGATTTATACTGACATTTTTTACTTGACATTTATCTGTGGATCACAGTCGTTCTTTCACTCTGTCATATCCCTAAGTGGTAAGTCATTATTTTTACCTGTTTGTTGGGGGAGTAGAGATATAGAAGGGTTAAATGACTTGCTGAGGATCATGAACCCAGACACTCAACAGTCATGATTAGCACTTAGAGTTTTTGACTCCTCTGCTCAGATGCAGATCACTAGGCAACATTTGCCTCCCTGCCGGAAGAAAGGTCCCCAAAGCCCTCAAAACAATCTGTTCAGCTTCACTGTGCAGAATAGCATCCAAAGCATTCTCAGCTTTGTGAAAAATAGAGGAATTGTACATGGTTTGACCTTTTAGAAACCTACTGGGAAAAATGGAAAATCCAGAGAGTGTCACAGCTTTCTGGATCCAGCTGGCTCTCC